ATTTTATTTGCAAGATTATTTTAAAATCGTTGACTATTTTACTAAGAATATTAATCTACATCATTCAGCAAACAAGCAAACATGCCGAAAATAAGTAGAAATTTTTGCATACTTTTCTTTTAGAACTGATTGTAGAAAGTTTTATGGGTTACAAGTACCAATATTTTTATATGCCAAGCTACATGTATCTCTATCACAAGAGCTAATGGCTGCAAAAATACTGGAATACTTGACAATGCAATTTACCTAACCACATCCAAGATATTTTAACACAATCTGATTAAATGGTGCAATTCTCCCTTAAATCAACAAATTTCTTAGATGAGTATAAGTGAGGCTCAGAAAAAAATCTTCAGCATCTCAGCATCTAAGATATCATGGAAATTCACTGTAGCTAAACAGGTATCTATACTGTTCAGTATATTAATATTAGAAATGATTCATCTATAGAAATAAAAATACTTTCAACACATAAAACAATTTTCTTAAAATGGTCCATATGGAATATATGTTTTCTATGTAATATATAAAACTGACTGAGATACTGAAAACATATACAAAATTATTTTCCATACAAGCAATTACAACCTAATGTATTCTGCTACTATTATTGCAATTTGATAAGTACAATGACAGTGTAAAATGTATTATATATAGGATTCTTTTTTACTATTCCAACTACACATAAATTCTGCCAAGTAGGTTAACATATGTTTAATACAGCACATACTAATATAATGACATTCAGTTACACACACACGCACACACACACACGCACGCACACACACACACACACACATATATATAAAACTGCACCGGTATCACAAATATTCTGACATTTAATTTATATTTTACACCTAAATATATTATTTGGCCTACTTTAGTACTAGCATAGAAATGTGGACAGTAATCACTTTAATTTCAGAATTTTTTATGTAATGTATTGCAATAAGTACTTGTTATCTGTATAAATAAGTGAGAAAAGAATGGCCAGTTGTTATGTTAAAAGCTGTACTAAGTTAATATTGTGCCACTTGAGCATAATCCCCTTTGATTCAACAGGATAGTGATTGAGACACCAATGGGTGATGATTATGATGATGATGACAATGATGATAAAAATAGCAGCAGCAGCAATTCTTTATTTGTTTATTTACATGCTAATCTAACAGCCCAGAAGCCAATCACAAAGTAGCAGCAGCAGCAACAGCAGCAGCAGTAGTAGTAGTAGTAGTAGTAGTAGTAGTAGTACTAGTAGTAATCCAGGGCTTAAGAAAATATAATAAGCTACTTGCCTGAGTTGACTTATGAAATGGCAAAAGAAGTTTACAAAATTCATTCATATTGTGGCGTGCCACCAAAAAGGACAGAAGACACATCCTCTGATAGGAAACGGCTGCGATAAGAATGTATACTTCCATGGAAATGCAATACCAATGGACCATTGCCTAGGAAGTGCTAAACTACAGACGTGTTTCCCTAAAAATGAAAGGATATTAATGGTAACGAGTGCTACCAGTGGATAAAACAGATCCCCTGAACACGATGTTCACTATTCAGTCCAAGAGCAGGTTATAAAAATCCAGCTTCGAAGAGACCTGTCAGTAGTAGTGAGTAGTGAGTCTTCAGTTTGGATTTGACTATAGCAGAAGCAATAATTGTGATAGCTGTGAATAAGTGCACTTGTGAGTGAAGAAGAGATTGGCCAATAAACGCATATAGCAAATCCAAGAGCCACGTGAATTCACTTGTTGCATTACCTACAAAACAAATGACAATAATAACAGGCTTTAATATGTTGGGATTTTGGACTTTATCCATCATCCTGGTTTTTAAGATAACAAATAAAAACACGACGTTTCGGAAACTGGATCTGTTTCCGTCCTCAGGTGAAGGAAAACACCTATTCAGTTGGGTCCCTTAGAAAGAGCTAGCCTCAATCACNGTTCCCCCCCCCCCTATCAAATTTATATGTCAGCATTAGTTTCTCTTATGTCAGTTGTAGAGTGGCCACATGAAGCAAATTAAAAATGGTTCAAATGAATACGTGGATATAAAAGAATATACTACATTGTTTCACAGAATTGCAACATAAGTTCTCGTATTGTTATTAACTGCTCTCGTATGAACAACTAATTTCTCAGGTGACCCAATGTCGGTGTATAAATATTTCTCTATTTTAATCATTGTAGAAAGAGGTACAAACTGTTTTAATGCTGAATTTTACTTTTGTTCATAATTTTCAAAGCCATGTCACAGAGCCAATGGCAGACCACATTCTCACATACATAAACTATGCTATTATTGACAGAGAATTTATTCTCTCAGGATCAACCCTAAATATATTCATTTCCAGTAAAACTGAAATAACAATTTCATTGTTTGCAAAAAAATAAAAAAACGGCCTTCAGGGTTAGTTCAGCACTTGAAAAATGTGGAGGTGAAAGAGAAAATTTGTAGAACCTAACAACAGAAGCAGAATGCCATGCAGAATATGTTCTGTTTTGTATCCACTGATATTGTACCACAATTGTGGGCTAAAGGCCGTATCATTTCCGTACCTTGCACATATATTTGCAAGATAGGTAGTTCAGTGTTGAGCATAAATTCTACAAGTGACATTTATATTGACAGTGTATTCTTATAAAAGAAGTGGTGTGTAAAGCTGAAGAAATATCTCTCTTTGCCAACCATCCAAACTAATAAACAAAATATTGCTAATAATCAAATATTCCCCACTTTAAGTAAATAAGTAGGGCACTGTACTTACAGAAAAGAGCAAATTCATCTTTTCCCATGGAAATACTGGAAATTACAACCCATCAATGTTTATGTGTCTTAGTTTCCAACAATTCTGTTCAGTAATTTTGAAGGAACATAAATTAATACTATAGGTAAACATTTATTTTTATCATTTTGAAATAAAATGAAATATGATTTTTATTTCTGTAGGAACGATTTAAAGGAGTATATTTAAGTATCAGTAAAATGAGAATGGAGAAGATTTGCTGTCACACAAACAAATGTTTCATTATTTCTCTCATGATGTTTTGGTCCACACAAGCTATTGTCAGATAACACATGAGAACTATATAAATGATGGTGGGATTCTATAAAATTACATTGCTAGTGTAATTTAAGAAAATATGTTAGTTAAATTAGGTCTGATCCAACTTAATAACATATACACTTTAATTTTTAAAAACTAAAACTAGACATATAAATATTAAATTTAAAAATAAAAATAGAACAGCATAAGTTTTAAATCACTATAAAAGGTAGGGGTAATTCCCCAGGGGAAGGAGACAATGTGGGAATTTTAGAAAATATAGGATCAAAGTGGAAAGGTGGTTGTGATTATCACCTGATGATGGCCTATCTGGGCAAAAATATGTAGTGAGTGAAATAATAAAAAAATGTGTTTGTGTAATTGAAAAACCACTCCAAATCTAACAGAATGCAACACTATAACAGAGAGGTAAAATGGCTATTCTGAAATACAATTTTTAATTTAACATGTATTAGTTATCACAAGCGATTTCATAAAATACTGAAGTTAGAGGAGAGCAAAGTTTTATAATTGTTTAATTTATAACCCGAGTTTGTTGAGATTATGTAGTCTAAAGTAGCAATGAACTGTCTTTTGTGTCTGGAACTGTGGGTGGAAAAGTTAAAACTTCTGTTAACACTTAATACTGGTAGAGGTATGTCCAAAATATATTTTTTAACATCTCATAGAAGTCTCGTCAACATAAATTTTAGCCCTCTGAGCAATAAAGACCAATAAACATTTAATAAAAGAATACATACTGTGTACATGACATGCTTATACATGTCATATCTTCCACCTTCATGATCAATACAAATTAAATACTGTACTGGTGGTGTAAATCCCTCACAACTTAGAATTTTCTGAAAGGGGTTAAAAGATGTGGCATGACTTTATGATCTGTCTGACTGGGATCCAGATTCTTTCCTTTTACTGTTATACCTTGTAAATATTATTTGCACTCCTTTACAATATTATAATAACTAAAATATTGTACCATAACAGACTCTAATGTGGTACAAGCTTATAAGTTTAAAATACAGGGTGTTTCACGACTTTAGGGCATAACTGCAGGAGGTGATTTCGTAGGTCTTTGTGATAAAAAAAGTTTATATAAACATGTGTCCGATTTTGGACGGTTACGGAGTTATGACCGTTTTAAACTCAGAATAGAAGGTAACGATTACTGACAATAAACAGAACAAAATAATAAACCGGCATAATGCATGATACATTTAAAGTATGAATGTAAAGTTAACTTCGTGAAATTACCTTTAATTTGAATTTATTGGTGCTTAAAGCTGATTTTCGAAAATGCCACCGCTGGCCACAACACAGGCTGCTGCTCAGTTGTGAACTGCGCAGGTAGCATGTAGCAGCTTCAGCTGGCTGTTTATGTGGTCAGCGGCGTCCAGAATGCGACCTAGCAAAGCATCTTGCGGTGTACCATATGAACAGTGCCTTCTTCATTGATGCCTTCATTATACCACACTCAGCTGCAATACAAACGCTGGGAAGTCTACCGGTATCTTGCAATGCCTGGTAAACTCCAGTAAACACACTCCGGTTTGGTATTCTATGATTCGGAAACCGTTGCTGATATTCAGCTACGGCAAGAACTGAGTTACCGTCACAAAACCTGTACACATAAATCATATCTGCATATTCCTCAAATGAAAATGTAAATGGCATTGTGAATGTAAGAGACGCACCGAGATGAGAACTGTTCTGAACACCAGTAGCCACCACACTAGCTGTGGCTGGACATACCAACCCACCACGCCTCAGGTACCTCTTAAGTATCGAGATAATGAGAATGCTCTGTCTGTAGCTGGCTAAAAATAGCGACCCGCCAGATGAAAGAAGCAGTTAACACAAGGCTGTGTACGGGAATGAAAAAACAATCATAACTCCATAACCATCCAAAATCGGACACATGTTTATATGAACTTTTTTGATCACAAAGACCTAGGTAATCACCTCCTGCAGTTATGCCCTAAAGTTGTGAAACACCCTGTATGTGTTCACTTGATCATAAGCTAAAGTTTCTTCCTAAAGAAACATATGAAAATTAAGGTGCCATCTTATAATTGTGAAAAAGCCAACAGAAAAGTATTCACTAGAATCAAGTTCCATGCCCTTCACTTCATGTATGGTCACTGTGATATAGTTGTAATACATGTAACAAATTATGTTTTTGATGAAGAAAACATACGGCAATGTGTGTTGAACACAGAATGCTGATTGCATCTGTAAACACCACTGCATACTAATGATAATATTACAGCTATGTGAATATGTTGCAATTAAGTATGCATTGGTGTTTAGTGATCGGTGAAGCAGCAGCATAACAACTAGAAATGAACTGTTTTCTGTTATCCTTATTTTAAATTCAAATAAACAGAGTACTATATAAATCAATAACATTCCCCAGCCATAGAGATATAGCTTTGTGAAAGGAACAGGCAGAAGTGTGTCTGGGCATAATTAATTATTACAACTGAAAGACATATGAGGGAGCAGAGGTACAGCTCCATTCATTCTTAATCTCAGCACTAGATGAAGGTAAATAATCAGCTTCACTCACTGGCCACTGTACTCCAAGGAAAGGGATAGAAGCCTGGGTGGATCCCAAAGCTAGTCTGGATGTAGTAATGAAGAAATCTCTGTCCCAGCCACGAACTGAACCCCAATCTCTCCAAGCATTCAACCCATGATATACTCACATACATATTAGACAGACCGAGAATGAAGAAAATTAAAACCCTGTTAATTTTTAACTCAGAAACATATTTTAGTACAGCAAGTCATAAAATCTGGTTAATCAAAAACTCTAATCCTAAGAGGGATGTTTCATAAACAGCAGAAATGTTTAAAGCCTTCAAATCTAAGTGTATTTAGTGAAAATGTATTATTTTATTTATCGATGGCATCTATTAACTATGATATAACTTCAACTGATCACATGTTGCAAATAATTTGAACTAACAAAGACTAATAGTGGATATTTATAGTCAAAATATTTAGTATTCTCAATCAAGAAACACTGTTTGTAGCATCTCAAAGAGTTACTGGAAAAGGAATGAAAAAAAAATCAAAGGGTCTGCAGTACTATTTTACACTTCTACAACTAGTGTTAATCACCTTGAAGGAGGCTGATAATAGGCTGGTAGCCAGTGGATGGGGGGGAATCTAATAGTCTGTTATCTGTCACTCATACCTCTCTGATAATTCAGTATTTGTTTTCTTATTATACTGTTACTGTCAACATTTGAGAAAGCACTGAAATGTCCAGAAGATGATACTCATGGCAAAAATAAAACAAGCAAAGCTCATTTCCCTCAAAGTTCATAGTTTTTGTTTCCTGTACACTGAATTAATGCATTATTACTGTATGTCCTTTAAAAAGTAATATGGAAATGACACAATAATTATTCTATGGCTCATGCAGCTTTAAGACCAGAGAAAGTTATCTTATAGGCATCTGTTTACTTCCAATGCTGCCATCCGCAAGAAGTCAAGCTTAACATTACTGTTTCCTTGCACTGGATTGGAATGTAGAAGTAAATGCAAGTCACAGTTTAATTGTCTGAACTAAAGTTATAGATTTTTCAGCATAGTAGTAGTAATAATTAAATTCTTTATTTCTGTGTGCTAACTCAACAGCTACAAGAGACAATTACAGTCAGCACAGTCAAACAAATAAAAAGTAAAAGAAAACAACACAAACATGTAGGACAAATGCATATAAGATATTGCAGTACAAAGTAGACACAGGACAAGTATAACTTTATAATAGTACTGAATGTAACAAAATATGGTAACTAACAATTAACCAAATTAACCAGAAGATTCATATTAAAGAAATGACTGTCAAACATACTGATATTGTTACAGATATCATATGTGGCTAAGATGTAAAAGCAGGACATTTATTCCTTGAAAATGAAGCAGAAAGGTATTGTCTCTAACGTTTCTGACTCAAGCTCTGACACCAACAACCTCTAAAAGAGTAGGGCAGGTAATAAAACTGCTATAAATTAAGTTATTCAAAACATAATTATAATTGTAAAATGATGATGATATGATACATTCCTTTTTCTTTTGTCAGATTAACATTACATAATTGTATGGTAATGCTGATGATAAATCTCCCTCCCCACATTTTTCAGATTATCATTACTTTGCTCTAAACATAACAGTGCCCCTTCGTTGCTCCATTTTCTTATACAATTATTCTAGAACATTCCAAAATAGTGTTAGCAGTTTTAGTTCTGTCTCACTGTTGTGATACAAAGTGCATATTGCTACAAATGACTAATGCTAGTATGTAATGTGTACAAGTGGACAAGTGCTTACAAGCAAAGAATGACAAATTATTCATAACATGTTTAACAATATTAAAATTAAGGATTCAAAGAAAAAATAGGTTGGATTGTGAGAGATACTGCTGAAGCTATAGAAATGTGGTGAGCTTTGTTTTATATGGAAGGAATAAAAGTATCTGTAGTAAACTGTAGATTATATTATCAACTTACACCAAATTTCTTCATATGTGAACAAATCTACTATTTTACGCTGAAGATAAGATTATAGAGGTCAGTTTCAAAATGCTTGTACATGGACAGGATACATTATTCAGCCATGTGCTACAGTGCTGTTGACATGAGAGAACACAGTCTTCTTTTTATGTCAGATAAGCCACAGCATTGCACTTGGTAGGATAACAGCTGCAAATTACAGTGTTTCTTTGGAATGCTAGAAATCTGAAGCAGGAGATTCAAACATTATGAGTTTATCAACAGAAAAGAACAATCGCATTTCTGTATAAAAGTTACGAGCTCTCCATCACACACTTTTCAAAATAAATTACTGCTAGGAACTGAACATTATAAGAACGTTTAGCATAGAAAGCTTTGCATTACATTGACCTATGAACTCATTCATATGAATGTGAAGACAACATGAAAACACTGAAACAGTTTACCTAAATTCTGAGTTATTATACATATAAATTTCTGCTTTACTTTTATTAATGCTAAAGCTTGTCTTAAAGTATCAATGGCATAGCTAGGATAATGAAAATTCTACAGATTAAAGAAATATCATCCATTTGCTAGACTTGATATATTCATACTATGAAAAGTAATATCTTCTGAGATGTGATGCTGTGTTGACTGGTAGAAGTTTAATGATGTTTCAGAGAAATAACTTTCATCTTCAAAGACAAAGAGTAAGCTGAGCAAGCAAGAAGCTAACAGCAAGCACAGCTTCTGCTTGTGTGGCTTACTTTTTAATCATGAAGATAGAGGCAGTATGTTCCTCCAAAACAGATAAACTTCTACCAGACAATACAGCATCACAATCCAGAAGATATTACTCTTTAAAATTCATTGGTAACCAACTTATATAGATAATTTCGGTTCTCTTCTCTTGGTATGATAGTCCAAATTATAAACTATGGACCATAAAATATACAATTTATATCATTTTGTTATTACAACTTGAGATGAGACATGGGCACAAATCTTGAAATCTATGAGCCTGCAATCGCCAGTCACATGTTTAATTGTTTTATGTTAAAATGTAATTACTTATTCACAGTCTTCTACCAACAATTTGCTGGGGTCATGCTATATTATAAATAATTTATACCTCTTTTTTATGCCCATACAATACCTTGGAAGCAAGAACTGGCAGGGGAGACTGAATTACTCAAAGAAAACATACCCCTGCGGTTCCACCAACTGCTCCACAGTCATTAATTATCCTACCAGCAGCACTATATAGTCTTGATAGTGACAGACTCCTTAAATCACCAACTAAAAAAACCTTTGGTGCACAGAAAATATATTAAATTTCAGACAACACCTGTTCAACTACAAAAGGGAACAGATGGATCTGGTTACTTTCCTAGTTATTCTCCGTAGAATAAGTGATGGACATATGTGAGCATCTTGTTGCAGATTTCTTTCTTCTGAATACTATTTTACATATAAAATTATTTATCATGCCACTTATGCATAACAGAGTGAATTAACTAGCATTCTACCATAATTAGTCTTTGACATGGGGCTTCATCTCACACAAAAAGTAACAAGCATGATCATTTTATTTACAGTTTTATATACATTTATGAAATGAGAACAGTGGTGGGAAGTAATGTGCAGGTTACACATTAGCTTTGAATAGAAGTACTATATGTCATGGGTAGATAAATGCAAGATGAAATGCATGTTTCCCACTGAATTTTATAGCAATGCAAACATTATTTTTTGATCAATGCTATTCCAGAGAATGCATATGTTGCAGAACTCTAACTATGTCATTGATACATGTACCTATGGTCTGAGAACAATGCTTACTACTTAATTATAATTCAGGTGAATGAAATCATTAAGTTACTCCACAGACTGTTAATGATTTCTTTGAAAATGCATCGCATTAAACATGAGAAAATAATTATCATATGGCAATAACTTTGTTCCCAATTACCACAGTTAAACAGCAAGTCAATCATCACAATGAATCCTGTACTGAGGCCCCATCCTGATTACCCTGTTGAAGAAAAGGAAATATAATGCATTATTTGTATATAAGCAGTAGTAAGCTGCATTAAGAAGACAACATCTAAAACAGTCTAATTTTTCCTGGCAATATATGCACTTCTTTTAACATGAATATAATAGATCTTGACCATACAGTATTAAATCTGACACAAAAATTCGCTTAGTGGGGGGTGGAGTCCAACTGGGTCCACTCGGCACAGCAGCCACTGATTGGCCTATTTTAGCCTGCCCCGGGTGATTATGATGATGGAGAATTTGGTGGAATGAGGATTGGCAGGGGAAACCTAAGTAATCAAAGAAAACCCGCCCCAGTGCCACTTTGTCCACCACAAATCCCACTTGACCAGACCCACGATCGAACCTGGGCCGCCGCGGTGGGAAGCCAGCGACTAACTGCGTGAGCTATGGTACGGCCCTAATTCTGCCATAACTACATGTACTGTATATTAGATATCTCTGTTTCACATTAATTACAAACAGTTTCCAGAAGGGTTAGAAATTAAACATTTGACAAATTAAAAAATTAAATAGGCAGTAATTAGCAAAGCTTGTGGAAAGGCAGCAAACTGTATATGAACAGGGAATGTCACATGTTCTGTAACTAAGTCATAGAATGTTCCAGCTTCTACAAGCACAGAACATGCCTATACACAGACTTGCTATTTTTGTCCTACTAACTGTTATATCTGATGGAAATAAAACAAAGGGAACAGAAAACTTCACCTAGATTAGCGGTGCAAGAAGGTACTATAAGAGTGTTGTAAGAAACCCCTGATGACATTATAAGTGAATGATTGTATTTGGAAGTGTAAAAGAGATTGTCCAATAAACATATTAGCCAAATCCAAGACCCGTGTGAATTTACTTGTCACGTCACATTAGGCAACATATGACAATATATATATATATATATGTGTGTGTGTGTGTGTGTGTGTGTAAAACAGGTAATACAAAATATGTGTATACTAATTTGGTACATGGCTTTGCCTCAGTATGCATGTAGATGGTGAGAAGGAGCACAATAATAGGCAGTACATAAACATAAAATGTATTAAGAAAGCAGTCTTCTGGGATGTGGCACCAGTCTGCTTGTACCAGTTCTTACGCTCTCTTTGCTTGCAGATTTCTTATTTTTCCTTCTACCCTGAAGACTGAGGCAATACGTTCCTCCGAAACGTCGGTTAATACCACATATACACGGTGCCACATCCCGAAGACTGCTTTCTTCATAGTCACTGCTGTGAAAACCTCAAATCTTACATAAAATGTATTGGTTACAGATAAACACCCATAAAGAATAAAAAAAAAACTGTCAAAAGAAACATACTGTACTGTGTAACATAAAAACTGTTACAGAAGAAAATACACTGAAATATTCTCTTACTTGTTTGAGGTACTAAATAATAATACGTATCTAAACAAGGAAGTAAATAATTAGATACCTTCAATTTCTTCTCATTCATCACAATCTCTGTAGAAATGGAAATTGTACTCCAGGAAATCAATTCCAAGCTTATCATTAGGAAGCAGGCATGTATTCTGAAAATCAAATATAACCCAATCACACCTTTAGTATATTTGGTACAAGTACATGAACATATACTGAAAAACAAACATTACCCAATTTATTAAGTGTAATTTCCATAATTCTGCATTTTCATAATTTTTTCTAGTGACGTGACACAAAATTTTTTATATTAACCAATATTATATTATATTAACCAATGACCTCTCTTTTTTTTATTGCTAGTGGGTTGGGACTAAGTCCCTTGTACTGCGACCACTTCTGTCCTATTGTACCAGCCCCAGATGATAGTGAGGGTGATTGTGGAGCAATTGGTGGAATGAAGATTGTCCGGGGAAACCGAAGTACGTGGAGAAAACCTGCCCCAGCTCCACTTTGTCCACCACAAATCCCACTTGACCAGACCCGGGATCGAACCCGGGCCGCAGCGGTGGGAAGCCAGCAACTAACCGCTTGAGTACCAATGACCCGTTAATGCTGCATAGCCTGGACAGTTGACTTAGCAATGTTTAATAACCTACATGAGTATAAACATCTGCAGGAAATCTGAAGCTCAACAGCTATGTTAACATTTATATACATTGAAGATACACACAGCTCTGTGGATTTTCAATTTCAAAATTATGCTGGTTGCCTCTGACTGTGAGAGGAACTCGTGTAACTAAACAACACAGCAATATTGGCAAGAAAAAAAAAGAATGAAAATAAATGTACATAAGGACTGGAAGAGGTGATATTGAAGTCTACTGTAATATTAGCAACAGGAATATTCCCACATAACCTGATACAACACTTTCCAGCAGCTAGTACTGAGAAAAGACTTCCTGCCATAAAATAAAATCTTTTCTGCTGTATAAATGAAATATGCTCAACAGTGTTATATTATGCATAATGAGGAGCTTCATAACTTCTACTCGTCTCCAAGTATAATTAGAAGATCAAGTCAAGGAGAATGAGGTGGGCAGGGCATATAGCATGAATGGGAGAGAGGAGGCATGCATATAGAATATTGGTGGTAAAGCCAGAAGGAAGGAGACCACTGGGATGACCAAGACATAGGTGGGTGGACAATATTAAAACAGATCTTAGAAAGATAGGATTGAATGGTATAGACTGGATTGATCTGGCTCAGGATAGGCACCAGTGGAGAGCCCTTGTGAACATGGTAATGAACCTTAGGGTTCCATAAAATGCTGGGAAGTTCTTGACTAGCTGCACAATTGGCAGCTTCTCAAGAAGGGCTCAGCTCCATGAGTGAGTGAGTGTTATCTTATAAATAAAACAGTTGTCATACTGTATTCTTGACAACATTCAAAATACATATTGGGGGGGAGGGGGAGTACAGACCCACTAATAGGCAATGACTTCAAAACAAACAATGTGACAACAGCCATTGCTCTACAACAGTGCTGTAAACACGCCTCTAAAACAATAGAGTGACTGTTTGAAACGGTATTATGCAACAAGTTGCTAGGCAGCCACAACAGCTGGACTGCAACAATAGAAACAGGGCTGTTTTTTATGTGATTTGTGTTGAGGAGTTATCTTGAAGACAACTGGGGCAATCAAGTTAGCTGTCCAGTAAGTTAAAAGTCAGCTTGTGAACAGAAGACCAAGAGGCTGGTGTGAAATTGCCGCCAGCCTGTCGGTTATCAGTCCAGTTGAGTTCTGCGTGGGAGGCTGTGAAGCTAGAACCTCAGCATGTGAAGCTGAAGAATATCCACTGATAGAAGCCATTGCCAGGGAACAGCTGATGAGGACACAGCAGGCTGGGAAAATGCTTAGCAGATGCTGTGGTGATTTCTGAATTGTGGAGATCAGAGATAGTGCTGTAATTACTTGTAGTTCTGAGTGGCATGTATAAGTGGTCAATAAATCCATTCTCCAGTCCATACTCCATCCATAGTTACTCCTAAATCGTGACAATATATATGAAAGGAGAGTACAAACCTTTTTCTTCTTCTTCTTCTTCATTTTCTTCTGTTGCAATGTACATTCAATGTGCTGGCAAGTACCCACCACAAGAACACAATGAACTCAAAAAGAAGCATTCTGAAGTGACCAATGACAAATACTATAAAGGACAGAATTTGCTTTCTTCCTTTCTTTAATTACAAAAAAGGAGATCAATTGGAATATTACATTAGAAAACTATTTGCATTTTGTTAAGAATTGGAAAGCACAATAATATTGTTGCATGACGTACCCACATGTGACATTAATGTCAAACTTTATAAATGCTTAATGGTGGCCAATCTGGTAAAACTTTACTTACATTTTCATCTCAAGTTGATCTCCCCAGCAGCCTGCTTAAGTATTGTACTAGAGCTCTGTATCACTCTGTGCAATGGTACTATCCCTTCACTCTGTGATTTGGTATTCATTTCATGGAAGAATCTTCCTCATAATTCCACACAACCATTGCATTTCCATTGATCCTACTGCTTTTATGACATGTGTCACGTCATCCTCTCCTAGGATTTTGTCATTCTTTATTTTTTGCAATGGCAAAAACACACGTTTTTTGTGTTTGTTTTTTCATTAGGCTACATTTCCATTTCTTGCAGTTACATTGGTCAAATTTGTAGGATGTGTACTGAGTAGTTTCTCAAAGTAGGCTTTCCATGTTTTCAAATATTCACTTTTCTGCTATATTAAAGTCCCACTCTTATTAATTACCGTATTTTTATCTTTCATTGGGTTACATTTATTTTTTGCCAATGAAAATAATATTTTACTTCCCTTGTCTTTAGCAAACATATTTTCCAAGACTGTTTTGGGGCCCATTTACCATCGTTTTGTTTGCTCTTCATAATATTTTCCAACTTTCTCTAGTTACATTAACACTATTTTTGAACTACATTCACCAGGAATTAAATAATTTTCCTGGGGAGTAAAGCGCGGCCGGCGCGTAGGGCTGACAACCTTACCGCCATCTTTAAGCCAATTGTCTAGATAATGTGGGACCCTCAACATCTCACAACCCTATGGGCCTTCACGGCCTGGTACAGGGATAGCTTTACTTTTTTTTTTATACTTTCTTTGATCCTTTGTCTTGTCCCTTTATAAAATGTCTATTTTAACTATTCTTTGCAGTTCAGTTATCCTGTTCATATATGTTGGGCTAAAGACTACTGGAACTCCTTTCCTTTTGTGTAATTCTTCCACTTACCATATTAACTCATAGCCTTCTCATATTTCTTCTCTTCCCTTACCTATCCACTGTGTTTCATTAGGTCCAAAAATACCAAAATGACTTTATTTCATTACATCCATTATTTCTTCCATAGATTTAATTTTATTTTAGGTTTAATGTTCCGGTCTAGAAAACCGAAATTAATGGCCATGGGGATTCGTTGCACTGACCACGTGACACCCTCTATCTGCTAAAGTTGGCACTAACTTCACCGACAAGTGGCGGTCGCTCAGTCAGTATAGTTTGCTTGTGGATGAAAAGTCATGGAGTTTAGGTTTAATGTTCTGATCCGCTCCAGTCTCACAAGTCATCTTGCTATACATCCAGCCATTTTTCTGAGGCATTGAGTCATTTTGAAGCTCCCACTCTCAGCTTGCATGGCCTACCACAACTTCACTGGAGCTCCATTAGCCATCATTTCAGGGTTCTTGTTGTGCCTCCTCAGCTTCAATGGCAGTACTATGCATCAGCCTAAGAGTAAGTTATCCCCTCCTACAGCATGGATGCTATAGCAATATAACACTAAGACTGACAATGGCCAATGATGATGATGGCTATAACAGAAATTAATCTGATGATGATAGCGGGTTGCTGGAAGTGCCACAATTAATTGACTGGTAGCTGTAGTCTCATTTTCTATTTTAATTCATATAAATGTTGAGAGAAAGAAAGAAACATGCAGAATATTTTATTTTCAATACTTTCCGCTTCTTATCTTAAATTCAAACTCTTGAAATGTTATTTAATTTTTATGAAACAGTATGGCAAACATTACACAGCCTCCAGCACTAAGGAAGACATCATTAGGCCTGTGGGATTTCATATTCATTGTATGATATGTTACTTACAGAAACAGTCTGTACCAGTGGTACTCTGTAGCGAACTGTCATGCGTGCAAAGGCTCCCACATTGATTGAGAATGATGCACTAGTAGTATGAATTTCTCCCTGCTGCTGGCTGTGCAGTCCTGAGCTCAAGTCATCAGTGGACCAATTATCATGACTACGACTCCATACACATACAGAAGGGCCAACAGGTGAATGGCACAGCTCAGGTGAATGTGATCGTGCCAGGTGTGAGAAACTAAAGAACACAAACAAAATATATGACTACAGAAAATCTTGGTCATGAATTAATATGTTATATATCATCAGTTTCTAAACCTTATACTATATTCCAATCAATATAAAGTAAAATAGTATTACAAACTCAGTAATCACTTTCAAGAAAAGTATTTTATTTTGAAGGATCTGAATACACTTGAAGTTCAAGGGCCCAGGCTGAGTGAGTGCTATGATCAAAAGTTCATGGCATGAATGTGTGTGTTCATTTACCATCACACCTGATCACTCTACTAGTCACCAAAACTCCCCAAATTTGTGGGGTCTGCTACTGACTATAATCGCATGGAGAAAAAAGACCTTTATCTTTTAGAAATCACAATAGAAACTTATGTGCCTCAGCTATGTTCTCCTGACAGGTCATGTAGCAATCATTTGTAGTTTTAAAATTTCCAATTTGTTTCCTTGGTGTCATATTACATTATATACATTACAAACCCAAACCTACTGCCATCTCCTGTTTATGTCCTAGAACGTCTTGTCAGGAAGTCCCGCTAAAACCATCCAGAAACCTTCAAATGAATTTTGTTAATACTGTGAAAATATGACATGACAGGGGCACCATACCACATAAATGCCCAGCTGTAAAAGGGCTAAGAATCTTGGAAAATCTTTCTCAGGGCTGAATGAACCTGGAATGACACATGCAAGGAGATTCCCATTCCATGCATTTCAGCAAAGAATGCCTCAAAAAAGAGAGTGATATTATCACTAAACTTTTAAACTTTTAAAAGTTATTCAGAACAAACCTGGATGCTGCTTCTGAATTATATATATCTCACTCATAACATGGAAAGGGTTAAAAAAATAACTTATTATCTGCTCCATCATCACAATTCATGTATAAGCTTCATATATTATTTTAAAACATGTTTCAGCTTTTTATTGACATCATTAAGTAAAATATTTACATTCACTCTCAACTATTCAACTATTTTTCCCCTTATTGGCCAATGTAAAATATTGTAACGTGCTACTTTATGGTCATCGCTGTGCAACGGCCACAATAGGAAGTTAACAGCCTACAATGAGTCTCCATGGTTATGACGAATACATGGAGAGTTCCCACAGAGACAACGCAATAACAGTGGGCCGTTGCGTAGGAATTGCAGAATCAACGAAACACCGTTTCCCTGGTGATAGACAACAGAAGGTTCACTGCGTAGCAATGGCTGCGGATATATAACAATGTAATGCATTCTCCAAGACAGTACTGGGATAGCCGTCACCGAAGACAGTTGAAATATAGCAGCCGCCAAAAGCAGTCTAGTATTGGCCAAGATATAGTGGAAGCAGTAGTTGGATACTGCAAATGGTGATAATTGTAAGGTGTGTAAGATTGAGTGTCCAATAAAAATTCGCTAAATCCAAGACCCACATGAACTTATTTGTCACATGACATACCCAACACGTGACAATATTTATACTCATTATGTACTATTCTGCTGTTTATCTCCTATTCACAATGTAGGGGAGAAAACAGGAGAGTAGCAGAAAGTAGGTGTAAATATTTTACCTGATGACAGCCACAAAGAGCCAAAAATGTAAAATAAGATATAATTTTATATATGGATTGTGGTGATGGAGCCAATAGTAAGTGTTCACACACAATATGACCCTGAAATTCAATATTCTTAGTTAAAAGAATGATTAACAACACACAGAGAACAGGGGAATGTCACTTTAATAATCTTGTTTTAAGGCTTCAATTATCTGACATTAAATATTGTCGCGTATCGGGCTTATACCGCGACAAATAACTTCACGTCGTATTTTATATAGCGAATTTTATTTCACACTCGCTCTTACAATCACCCAAATTGCAGATTTACGCTTACTGCTATCTGCAGTATCACAATTAGTACACTCCAAATGCCAAAATACAACTGACTAGTTGCTGGCTAACTCGGCGGTAGCTCCAGGACTCACTGACTGACTCAGTACAACTGACTGTGAATAGCCTTCGCTGCTCCGTATGTAGCCTCGATCGGACAATACGGCCACGTAATAGGCACCCTTGTTGCCTGGCGCTGTGTTGCTAGCAACGCTAGCGGTAGTAACCGCTGTTACTACTTGGTGACATCACCGCTGTTGACTCGCGTTGCCTAGCGACCAGGATCCTAGGACTCGGCTAACATCGGCTCGCTTCGGCTTCACTCGGCGCATCACGGCTGGCGGGGGGTGGGGGAGGGCTCATAGCTCAGCATGTCACAATATTTATATTCACCCCATTATCTCTGTATAGCGAGCATCATGTTTAAGACATTCCTCAGATGAACGTTTAAACCCACTGTCCCTTGGAAAAAATGAAATGAACTTTCATTGTAAACATGGGAATGTACTCACTGGAACTGTAGGAGAAGATATTCATCAGGCATAAACCTGCTGAGAGGAATTGTATATGTATAGTTGTATGCTGTTCGGTCAATACAGGGTGCAAATTCATTTCCTTCTTGAACCGAGCAGAACTCAGAGCCCAGAGTCTGGTTGAAGTGTCGCCCTTTCACGCTCACTGACACACCTGTATGATCCACATCTGACACAACAAAGAAAAATATACAATAGCTGTTGAGACATCACTGTCTCTGTAATTATACTTGACACATTTGATTTTGAGTTTTATTATTTTCTAATTTGGTTTTATTTTTCTAAGAATATGAGGCCACTTAATCCCTAAAGCAGTAACCTCATTTGGAATAGGGAATAGAGAAATACGACAGTAAGGATACCACTGTATGGAACAAGTGAGAAAGAATGTGCTGCATCAGGGAAAAGACTGGTGTGAGGTTCCAGATTTTGAAATTTAGGAGAAAGACTTTTATGCAGCAGGTGAACCATGTAATACAGATAATACTTAAAGCAGACAAAAAAGATTAAAAATATTATTTTTAAATTCCCTCCAGTTGTTATATGCTGTTTCAGTAGTGAAAATATGTACAGCATTGGGAATTTACTTATATACATTTTGTTTGCAGTAAATGAATGAAGGATGTCACAGATTCTGAAGCATACAGTCTTCAGAAACTGAACACAACTGGCTGCAGAAGGAACATCATGAAGAATTTTTGTGAGAACCAACATCATCATATCCATGACAACATAGGCAGAAAAAAAAGCATGATAAACACATTCATTATCAATGAGAGAACACCTTCATAATCATGAAGAAAGAAGCCACAGAAATATCACAAAGATGTCCATGGTAAGTACCATTCCATGGAAGCTCTGCACATGCACAACAGTTGAGGTACTGCTGAGTACCATGTCACCCAGGTAGTCTGCCACAAGGTTACATAAAGAAGCATGTCAGGCAAGTCACTGATCTGTTCTCATTCAAGCCCATCCCTAGTTACTTTCCCACCTTAGTGCAACAAGACGCTAAGATAAGGAGACGATAAGGACGGAGATCTCAGGAAGACAAAATAGGAGAAAATAGAGAAAGTAAGAAAGGGGCAGTTGAATGAGGGATTGTAAAGCCTTGTTTAAACTTGTTACACAGAAAGAAATGGCGCTAAATGAATCAACTGTAGACCAGAACCCACAGAGTTGTCATTTCTCATGACAACAGCCACCATTACCACTTATAAGGTTAGAATTTCTTCTTCTTCTTCTTCTTGTCCTCCTCCTCTGGCAAAATTTCCACTACAAGGTGAGTCAAAAAACCTTTAAATACATTGGTTTTGTCCATAATTTTCATCTTCAACTTCAGTCCACACTTCTCTTATTTTTTTAATAGTATGAATCACTTGGTCATCCATCTCAGTCTGGGTATCTCTTGTTTCATTTGTCTGTCACATCCAGCTGCACTGCTGTTCTAGATACACTACTTTACCTTTATTTTAACATGTTGAAATCACTATAATCTTTTCATTGGTGAATTCCATTAAGAACCTCTAACCCACTCCTTCTGTGACTGCCACATGATCCTTCCCCTGAATTATGACCCCAATGCCCATGCTGCTGAACAGGAGCAACATGAAGTGTACTGGAAGCCCAAAAGCTGAGAAGACCCAATATGAATTAAGAAAATAACATCTAATGGGGCTAGTGTGAAAGAAGGTGAGGACAAGAAGATCAACATTTTCTTTCAAACAAGGATTATGACTTAACAAACACACACAGAGGGGGCATGAATTACATAATATATTGAGAACTGCTGCTTACCCACTATCATTTATTTGCTGTAATTGTGTGGAACATCAGCATAAATGTGGGAAATGAGAATTTCTGGCTGGAATATCTCAAGGAGAACAACAAAGTGGAAATCTAGGCATAGAGAGTAGGATAATATCAAGTGGATCTTTGAGATAGTATGAGGCTGTAAGTACAGTAAGGAATCTTTGGGCTCCACAAGAAGAGCAGGTGTTCTTGACTAGATGAGCTCAAACTTGTATCATGGGGTTACATGGTTGTCTGCTTTGGATACTATTAGCAGAGTAGGAATGATCTTAACAGCTCAGTCACATGAACAGTGTTTCACTTCCTTACCAGAAGAAGAGTCAGAATTGCTATAATTGTTCTCTCTATAGTTCCATTCATCTGTCTCCCGTCGCCGTCGAACAAGAAGGTCTACTGCATTCTTTAGTCTCTCAGATTTCAACCACGCAGAGGGCTGAAAGTAAAGATGAAGTTTTCTGAGTAAAGACATTATCATATACATATTAAGATAAAATAAGAATCTACAAATTCTGCATTATTGACCCTGAATCTATACATATTTGAATTTTCTGTGCTGATATGTGTAAAATTAAAAAAAAAAGTAAGGTTGTCCCTGTGCTTGACTAATTGAGCACTCTTCCATGAAGATGTAGGGGCTTGTGAATGTACATGTATAAGTACATGTTTTCTTGAACTCGGTACTGGCTGGAAGTGAGTGGTCAGCTTCACACACTGTCCGCTACACCGCCGGGGAAAGACCTCCTTGTACTCATTGGATAGGAGGCTAGATTGGCCCCAGCGCTGGTCTAGACGATGTGGAGAAGAGCAAATTCTTGATCCTACCAGAATTTAAACTCTGCCTCCTCATGTCATTCAGCCCACAGGCAGTCACCATATTGACTGTGCTACCCTGGCCCTGTTCTGATACATGTTAAGTATGTAATCCCTTAATTAATTCAGTGGAAAAATGCAAATAAAAATTGTAAACCATTTGTTTTCAACATATGTTTGCATGTTTCTGTCATTGTAAATTTTGCAAGAACATGTAAAAGGACAGATAGGACCAGTTCCATTTACAGAGAGAAAGAAGTTGGCATTCAGATGTGACAATGAGAGGGTTTTCTGACAAATAAACTTTTCATATGTATACAAATAATGTTTCACAAGTCTGTGACAGCCACAAAACCACTCACAGCATGCATAACATTCATTCAAACCTACCACGTGAGAAAGAACAATGTAAAAAAAATCATCCTGTGGAGCAGTAGCTGATGATAGTCATGCTAAAAGGGTGAACTGTAATATTTTTTAAAAAAAGTATTATACTCCCTCTGGATGAGTTTCATAATATGAATGCCAGTTTGTGTTTTATGAAATGGTGTGATGTACCATTGCATACTATCAGAGAAGAGAACTCTACAGTATATGATTCTTTGCAATATTTTTTGCTGGATAAACAGAAAATTGTGTTATAAATGTATCCAGTAAAGTAGGTAAAATTTTCAATACCACAGTCATATGATTTTCAAAAGAGGATTATTTCTTGCATTTCCCCTTAAATGAATGTAACAAATTACCTCTTTTATCAGTGCTTGGTTGTTAGCAGGGTCAAGAACAGAGGTATAGCTGCTTTGTTGCTGTTTTTCTTGCTTCCTGTGCTCATCTAGTGCATTAGTTGCTGGTGTCATACGTTGGTTCACTGGGCTTCCACCAGGGTGAGCTATGAACAGGATATGTACAATAATAAGAAGGAAAGGAAGATTACACAAGTGGGTTCTGAAGAATTCACTCTTGTATAGGCTGATATCTATTTTCTTTGGAAATAAAACCTAAAAGGCAAGGTTAAGTAAAAGTAATTTTATTAGTGATATTGGAAATATACAGACTGAAATCTTATGCAGCTATCCTCAGTCCCTCTAGGCAAATTTTGTGATAGTACCTGAATTCAGGAAATGTTTGATTCCTTCCATATTATTTCCAATTCATTATTCATCGATAATCTTTAACGTTTAATGCTATATAATCTGAGCTATTGAGAATATCATTAAATAAACCATAAAGAAATAAAATTAAATAAATTATTATTACCACTTTTGGAGAACATGGGCACTTGCACAAGGGAAACTGTAAACACATATGTAGTTCAGAAACCAAGAGTTACATGGTTTCCTTCTTATGTATTTCATGGCATAAGCAGTATTGCTGGTTTGGCATTATTGCTCAGTCCATCTTTTCCTTGCACATACTGATTTCTTTGTTTTTGGGTGTATGTTTTATAACAATTTTCAATACGTTACTGCCAGCCATTTGCTGTACATGTTCCATCCATTTCTCTCAGATCTTGCATCCCTTCATTTAAGGTGAATGTTTGTAATTCATTTCTTATTTCTTCACTATGAATGCTAACCGGTTTTGTAGATACTTTTCTACATTAAGAAGAAATTATATCTTCACAGTCTGCATCCTGCAGATGTCCTTCATTTTGTCACCCAGTTTTCACTACCACGGTATAATAGAGGCCACAACTTTGTAGTTTTAATTTTGTATCAATTTCAGAATTTTACTGATGGTTCAATATATGGATTAAAGCCCTGAAATTGTTCATAACTCATATCACACCTTAAGTATTTAACTATATTTAAATATGATTATGTATTATTACTCCTACGTTCATGTTTTCAGAATTCTCCCCTATAAAGATAATGCAGAAATACCGTGAGAAAGATTATTGTACTAACACTAATGTAAGAAGCAAAGACAAAACTGAACATAACTGGAAGGAACATGGTTTACAGGTCATCCATCACGAATAAAAGGTGTGCAGTCATTCAATTACATGGTCATCAACAAGGGTCAAAGATTTTGCATTCTTCTGTTGATATTTCAAAATTATATGATCCAAATATATGATTCAACTGAGACACAGATTTCCTGAAGCTTACTCTTTTATTAAGAATTAATACCTAATCATTTGCAAACAGTCTAAATTTTTCTTTGTAGGTTACTTAACGACGCCATCAGTAACTAAGACTATACTGTGTAAAATGATAGAATGATCATGAATAATGAAGTGAAACAGATAAGGAAGGAAGTGGTTGTGCCCTACTTTAAAGTAAACTCATGGTATATGCCTGAAGCAACTGAGAAAAGCCACAGAAAATCTCTGTCTCAATGGATGGTGTCCCAGCCGAGAATGGAACCAGGCATCTCCCAACTACAAATCAGAGTGTTACCACTTTAGCCAACTTGCTTGGTATGTGTAAATAGCCCTGCCTTTATATATTTATCTTCATTCATCAGAATTCCTGGCTCTGCAAGGGCCTGACAAGGTAATGGTGATGTTGAATCATCATCATCATCACTGGCATGACAGCCCTTTGTGAGCCCTGGCCTTCCTCAGGATTGCTCGCCATTCTTCTCTATTGGATGCTACATTCCTCCAGTTCTTTATACCCAAAATTCTTATGTCCTGCCACACACATTCTTCCCATCTTAACCTTGGTCTTCCCACTCTCCTATTTCCTTCTGGTTTGGTGTTAAACATTTTCTTGATGGTTCTATTCTCGCTGGCACATATTATGTGTTCAGCCCATTCAAGTCTTTTCACCTTTATAAATCCAATAATGTCTGTTTCATTAAATATTTTGTATAGCTCATGGTTATACCTCTTCCTCCATATTCCATTTTCTTCCATTGGTCCAAAGATATATCTCAGGATCCTCCTTTCAAGTATAGTTAACAGTCATTCATCCGATCTTGACAGTGGTCAGGTCTCAGAGGCATAAGATAGCACTGATCTTATAAGTACTTTATACATCATAGTTTTGGCTTTCCTGGGTATTAATTGGGTTTTCGGGTGTTTCCTAAGGTCATGGAGACATTTATTTGCTGCAAGTACACACTTTTTTATTTCATCGCTGATATCATTTTTACAGTTAACTTCTGATCCAAGGTAAATGAAACTACATATAACCTCAAATTTATATGAGCCAATTTCAATATATGTAGATCCATTAGCACAGTCTTTGTTGGTTACTGGCATGTACTTTGTTTTATGGTGATGTTAAGTAATGATCAAAATATCCAGTTCAACTAAAATACACATTGCTTAAGCTTATTCTCTTCATTCTGAATTAATATTTTACCATCCATAAATAAGATTTTCTTTATGTATTTGTCTTTGTTCATTAGAATTCCTGGAACTGCTTGACTTGTAGTAAGAGGGCTATTCAGAAAGCAAATTCCATTTCTTTGAGACAACTAATACAGGAGTGAAGGAGAGCTCACATATGTGAGGTAGCATCACATGGGGCCGTGCCATAGCTCAAGCGGTTAGTCTCTGGCTTCCCACCACGGAGGCCCGGGTTCGATCCCAGGTCTGGTCAAGTGGGATTTGTGGTGGACAAAGTAGCGCTGGGGCGGGTTTTCTCCGAGTACTTCGGTTTCCCCTGACAATCTTCATTCCACCAATTGCTCCACAGTCACCCTCACCTATCATCTGGGGCTGGTACAATAGGCCAGAAGTGGCCGCAGTACAAGGGACTTAGTCCCACCCCACTAGCAATAAAAAAAATAGCATCACATGACTCATTATCCTGTAAACCATCATATAACTGGTCACCTAGTGTTCGTCCTTGTCCCTACAGAGCGACTTATGATGTGTCCTGTGATGGATAATCCTGCCACCTGTGAAATCTGTGCTGTTATTTGCTTTCTTCATGCTAGAATATGAGTGCTGTGAAAACCCATAGTGAATTACAAGTATGTGCAGCTGTTCACGGTGGAAATGTAATGAGTGAAGAAACTGTAGGACAACAGTACAGAATGTTCACAATGGTGAGCAAAGTGGTCAGCCCCATCTGTATTGAGTGATGATCTTTTTCAAAGTGCTGACCAAAAAATATGTGAAAGACAGCGCTTCACAATTTTAGAACTTGTGTAAATTTCTATAAATTTCATGTATTCTTCTCTGAGAGATTATCACAGTTAGGCTAGGCTACCAAAGTTTTGTGCAAGATTGGTTCTGAAAATGCTCACGGGTACACACAAAATGCAGAGAAGAGCTTTGACTTCTTTTAGGGTGATACCACAAAGATGGCGAATTTCTCCATCATATCTTACGAGTAACACGTCATGAAACCTGGGTTTCATTTCCAAATGTTGAAACCAAAGTGTAGTCACACGACATCCACCAAAAAAGCCGAAAAATTTACACAAACACTGTCTGTCTGCCAGAAAGCTGATGGCAACTGTTTTCTGGGACAGGAAAGGAGTGTTGCTGGTCAGATTCATACAACAAGGGACCACAGTAACATAAGAAGTGTACTGCAAAACACTAAAAACTGTGTGGGGCCATTCAGGACAAAAGGTGTTGAATGCTAATATATGGCGTAGTGCTCCTCCATGACAGTGCATGTCCACATAAGTACAGCTGCTTGCATTTGAGCACTGCTTGAGCATTTCAACTGGGAGTTGTTTGACCACCCTCCTTACAGCCCTGTTCTTGCTCCAAGCAACTACCACCTGATTCCCTACCTGAAGGACTGGTTGCAATCACAGCATTTCAGGAGTAATGAGCAGTTAATTGAAGGTGTCAAAACGTGGCTGAGATCACAGGCAGCAGGCATACAAAAAATATCCCCTGATATGACAGGTACTTCAATTCCAGCAGCGACTATATTGAGAAGTAGCTTAAGTATGCATGTATTTGTTTTATATACTTATTTTTTCTCACTACTTGTTTTATTGACAGCTCACTGGAAGTTACTTTCTGAATAGCCATCATATATTGTAAAGTAAACTGAATGCTGGGGGGGTGGGGTATAAGTGCACACCTCTCTTTATCAATGGTTTGTGACTCCCCCCCCCCCCCAATGGTTTTTAGATCTTTTATGAGCTGCCCAACCCACATTGACAGCTGAAGATAACCCGGAACCCAAAAGAATGTACTGGAATAACTTCTCTATATAAAGCTGTAAAGTTTTTGAGAGTTTTGGTTGGGTGTGGAGGGCTAGCATAGATGTGCGTGAAGAACCAGACATGAAGCACAGCATGGTGTAAGTTCAAAGTTAGTTAAGTGCAAGATGTAAGGACAGGACAGAGCATTGATGTATGGTGTAACAGTAGTAGATAAGCTGTAATCAAGATGTTAAGTGGCTACTGACAATGAGATAGTAAATGCTCCAAAACGTGATAAATATTACAATATCCACATAAACACTTATGCGCACATGTGTGTGTGTGTGTGTATAGCACTTCCTTTTTCTTTGAAGGAACATGTTTGCTCATACTCTCACACTTTGTTTTAGCCTCAAGGAAAGATGTACAATTCACTAAGAGCTGTGTGACCTTTGACAAGTTTGCTAGTATACAGCAACAGTTTGCAGTTACTGGTATATGGAGAAGTAAACCAGATTCAGAATAGGGTTAGGGAAGTGCTAACTTACAGTACTGCCTGGAAGATGGAGTATCAGCTGCAGCAAGATGAGTGGAGGTTGTCGCTGATTCCATATGGTGCTCCTGTGTCTCCTCAAGGTGCAGCAGGTCTGGAGAGCAGCAGTATGTCTACAAATAAAATAAATATAATTATGTGGTATATTATTCTTAACTGTATTGTTTTATACCGTTATCAACCACAGTTTGGTATTGTCATTAGTAACATTTGACATCTGTAGTACAATGATGATTACATAGATTACTTCTTATTATAAAAACATGATACACAAACCTGACATAATGGGGTTTCATTGTCCATATAGTGATGGATGTTACTGGTGCCACCTGCATTGGTTCCACTTCCTCCAACCAACTGAGAACATTCTTGTGGTCTTCCAAGAACAGGTGGTGATGCTCTTGCAGCACCATTTCCTCGCACTGATGCAGCAGACAAAAACGTATCTGCATTTGGAGGACCCTCTGATACTGCATAATCTGATTTTGTTGTTGATAAAGGACTATAGAGATTTGTGGGAAGGGGGCTAACGGACTTAATATGCAATACTGGGTCATTACTAATAGGAGATTTGGTGGTCAGTCTTTGAGGAGGTTTGGTCTGATACCAGGAATTGGTAATGAGATCCTTTGTATAGTATGAATGTTTTACTGAAGGTTTCGGTGAGGCTATGTTTAATGGGAAAGATGTAGGAAAAATTGTACTACTTATAGGTGGTATATTAGGATGAGAACTAAATACTGGTTTGAAAGTCAGTGTTTGCACTGTTGAAGTATGGGGACTTATTTGCCCCACACGTTGGCTGCAGAGAGAGAGAGAGAGAGAGAATGAGCAATTACTATTAATAATGTAATTTGTTAGAAAATGAAACTAACGAATAAGAATCATGAATTGTATAGCATCTATTTAGTTTACCTGTGAGGACTGTCATGGTCTTGTTTATTTCTGTTTTGAAACTCCAAGAAGTACAGAGTGGCCATTGCTACCAAACTGAAAAAACAGATAAGTCTGAAAAACAACGTAATATTTAAGTTTGAAGCATTTCAAGTGTCTCATTTTGTTATGGATTCATATTACAGTGGATCTTATTTATGAGTAGCATGATCTTTTGTACATATACAGTCAGTAAGTAACACTGTATTACGATAAATTTTACCAACTACACACAGTAAAATGTCTAACAAAATGAACAGTTGTTCATGAAATGTTTATTTGCACAAAAAAAATCTATTAATTATTCACTTATCAATACAACTGTATGATTTTTTTTTCTTGGCACTACAGCCCCAGTGGGCCTAGGCCTACCCCCATGAACTCCGTTCACTTCGGTTTTTCTAGATCATACACATTCGGTAGGACTCCTTGGGCGAGTGGTCGGCTCGTCGCAAGGCCTCTACCTGTAGACAAACACAGAAAAACGCACACAAACATCCATGCCCTCAGTGGAATTCGAACCCACAATCCCGGTTTCCAAGCGAGCGAAGACAGTGCATGCCAACTGTATGATTGTTAATTCAATAATTACAGACTTTCAAACAATACTTCAATTTCATGAAATGGAACTAAAATTCTACTGGCATGTATTTGTTATAATTGTGATTAACTTAACCTTTATCATAGACTTTGAAGCTTATCCAAACAGCCAAAATATAAGAATTCCTAAAAAAGATCAATGAGTTGAACTAAACATTTTATTCTTAATCTTATATTATACTACCATGTACTGCTACCTGCTGATCTGCATGAGTCTGAAACTTCATCCTTCACTTGAGAAGAAAATAGATTGAGTGAAAACAAATTGCTGAGAAGAACTGCTGAACCAGGAAATGACAGTAGAATGGATGGAAAAGAAAGTTCAAAATAAGGAGCTTCAAAATGTATATTCTTCACCCAAATATCTATGAGGTATCATCTTTCAGTAATGCTGAGGATCAATCAATCAATCAGTTTATTTGTTCCAAGAATCAGGTATCAGAATACATTTTGCAGATGATCTGATGGTAGGTGCAGTAACTAGTGTTGGCTATCAAAGAACAATTAATTGTACAGAAATACATGAATTTTGCAAAGAATGGAAGCTCAACATAAAAGTAGAGAAGATGAAGAGGGCAGTGTTTACGAAAGGAGGAAAATTGAGTGAGAATTTAAAATGGGCACCGGAAACAGAGGAATCAGAAGTAGCAAATAACATTAAATATTTAGGGATAATTTTGGACTGTAGGGGAAATGGAAGAAGGAATGGACACATAAGGGTGGAATTAACATTGAATAGAATTAACGTATGTTCAGCAAGGGCACCAAATACAGATATTATACAGACATTACATTTCTGTACTTTATCCATCATCCAGTTTTTGTCTAAAACACTGTCCTGTTTTTACTTGAAAAAGATTACTAATGTTATATAACTGTTTAATGAACAACTGGAAGGAAGAGGAATATATAGAAGTATATGCAGCTGAAGCCAGAGGAGGAATAATACAGTGGTACATAGGAATCTGGAGACTGAAGGGATTTATAAAGAACAGTGAATTGGGGACTTGTCCCATATGTAGAAAAGAAAAAGACTACAGCCACATACTAAGATGCAAGGGAACAATGAATTGGAGGGACCACGTTTTGGACAAGAGGTTATGGGTACAGAAATAGATACTAGGTTAGCAGAATGCAAGAATAAAGAGCTGTTGGAGGAAATAAGAATGCATATCATTATATGCACAGAGAAATGGAAAAGGATGGTAAGCAAAGAATGAGACAGGAGCAGAAATAAATCCAGACAAGTGAAAATCAGTAGAGGTAGCAACAGGATACATATAATTAAAATGGTACTACATAATAGATGGGTTTTATACTACAGGAATTGAAATGTAATTGGGTTGCTGGAATATATGAGTAGGATCAGGGAGTCAAATTATGGCAACACAAAATGTAAATTGTAATGGATCTAATAAAGTATTCAATAATTCAAATTTCTATGAAGTGAATAAATCAAGAGTGATTTAGCCAGTACATGCAACATGCAAGAGGGAAATGATATATGCATATAATATTAAGGTCAGAAAATATCAAAGAGAAGAGAGTATAAATCGAGAGTGATATGGGCAGGACATGCTGCATACAAAAGAGAAATGAAATATGCAAATGATCAGAAAATATCAAAAGAAAAAAACATTTGGGAGGCATAACATGGATAAGATAACACAAATTGAATATGTGAAAAATTGAAGGTAAGAACTGAATTTAATTACAGGGGCAGACAGCAAGCTTTTGTGAAAATGGTGATGAATATTTGGGGGTCAGAAAAGCAGAGAATTGTTGGCTAGTTGAGTGACTATAAACTTTGCAAGACTGCCCATGGAGTTACTTACTACTTACCAAAATGCCATGATGAGCACAAGAACTACTATAGTAATTTGAATGAATTTGTTGGAGCAGACATCATCATCTACAATTGAGCAGTTGCGTCTTCTATGCTTCAGAGTAGCTCCAGAAAGTTTACTTGTAACTGAAAATGATCATTATCATTTGTGAGATTTGAAGTTATTACAGCAGTAAATATTCAGATCATGGTCATCTATGATGAGACAGCATTTATTTTGGTACATGTGTACCATCTTCAGCACAGAACAGTGAAGATGATGACAGCAGGATCCTCCATAACACTAGTATCCCTCGCCCCACCTACCAAAGTATATGATGACACATTCTTAATTTGTTTTAATGTACGGACTAGTACAGACTAGGAATGTGGTAATCAGAAATTGAGAGAGAAATGAACTCAGAAAAGTATGAGCTTGTGAAAAGCTGAAACTCCAGACACCTCGTATAATACAAGAAATTGTAATTACAATTAGCTGTATCTGAATTTGAGCATATTTTGGTTTTCATTTTAATAACTTCCATTTAAAATTATAACTATCACAGTTAATTCATTATAATTTAATTGTACATTAATTACTTGTATGGTGAAACAGATAGATAATATGTCCTTATTTTTAATTGATTTCTAATTTCATAAATTTTTCACATATTTATTAAATGTTTTATTTCACTTTATTCAAAACTGTTGTTGTTCAAAACTACTGTTGTTGCTGTAACTGCCTAGGTGAAAGAAGATGAGAGGGGGAGGCTAAGGTCACACTTCTGCAAGCCTTTTGCATCAGTCTGTCACGTGACACTGCACTGTGAACATGCGTTTTTACACGAGTGCTTTTTCAACTTCGTGTTTCATTTTTTTCTGTGAGGGATGACAAAATTGATCAACGTGTCTGCATCAAGTTACTGAAGCTCAGTAAATCATCTACTGAAACCTTTGAAATGCTCTCTGAGGCTTTTGGAGAATATTCTTTAAGCCGGACAGTGGTTTTTGAGTGACATTCATGTTTCAAGTCTGGTCAAGTGTCAGATGAAGATGACGAAAGTTCAGGGCGACCAAGCACCAGCAAAATGACAGAAAACATTGAAAAATTTGAGAACTCATCCATGGAGGCTGTTGCCACCAAACAATCCATGAGCTTGCAGACACTGTTGTGATCAGTTGTGGAGTTTGCCAAGAGATCTCAACAGAAAATTTGAACATGCGCCACAATACCGTGAATTTTGCTCCCTGACTCTTGACAAATGATCAAAAGCAGCAGCATGTAAACATGTGTCGTAAGCTATGAGAGAAGTCTAATGAGGACCCAACTTTTATTTCTAGGATCATAACAGGTGACAAAAGTTGGATTTACAGTTATGATCCAGAAACAAAGCAACAGTCATCACAGTGGAAGAGCCCACAATCACCAAGAGCAAAAAAGGCGCAGCAGGTCTAGAGTTCAATAAAGAGCATGCTCAGTGTTTTTTCGATGTGAAGGGGATTGTTCACAGTGAATTTGTTCCTCTCAAGACTATGGTCAACTCTGACTTCTACTGTGACATTTTGAGACGCTTGAGAGAAAATGTGCAACGCAAAAGACTGGAACTTTGGCACAACCACAAGTGTCTCCTTCAACATGACAACATGCCTGCACACATGTCCTTGAAAACCAGAGTTTGTGACTGACAACATCATGGTTATTGTTACCCATCCTGGACTTAGCCCTCTGTGATTGAAAATGAAACTAAAGGGACAATGTTTTGAAACATTGTCTGACATCCAAAGGGAACTGCAAGTGGTACTTGACAGTATTAAGGAAAATGACTTCTATGGTGCTTCTGAAGCACAGAAAAAATGATTGGATCACTGTATACATTCTGAAGGAGACTATTTTGAAGGAGATGGCAGACAAAATTGAGTAAGTTAAGCCAGTATTTTTCTTTGACCTAATCCGGGAACTTCCCGGTAGTACCTTGGTCTCATACTCTAAGGGAGGAACACAAATTTAAGGGTGTTTGAGAACAGGTTGCTGTTAAATATATTTGAATCTAAAGAAGAGCAAGCAACAGAAGTATGGAAAGAAATGCATAGTGAGGAGCTTCATAATTTCTACCATTTAATAAATACTATCAGGGTGATCAAAGGAATGAAGATAGGAATGAGAAATGTATATAGAATGTTAATCAGAAAACCAGACAAATTTAGTCATAAGTGGGAGGATATTACTATAACAGGTATAAAGAAATATGATGTGCAGGTGTGGATTGGATTTATCTAGCTCATAATATTAACCAAATGTGGCTTCTTGTGAAAATGCTAATGAAATTTTCAGATCCATAAAGAGTGGAGAATTCTTTTGGCCAGTAGAGTGGCTCTCAGCTTCTTAAGGACTCTTCCCCATGGGCTGTTAGAAGAGCCTCATCATATTCCTTTTAGTTCAAATCTTAACCTGATGGTGGCACTATGTGCTCTTGGGATAATATTTCACTACAGTTAGAAACAAGAGTTAGATGGGACATGCTATCTCAAATAGTGGTGGCAGTGGGGCCATCATTATCTACAAAACAGATGACACTGATGGATCCATTACAAAATTTATAGAGATAAATAGGATAGTTTATGAACAAAAATATTGAAAAACAGTCAATAGCAGAAACCAGGTAGATAAAATGCAAACTTAGGATAATATATAAAAATATATTAAAAAATATTCAAACAGCCATATTTTCATTGAATAGTTTTTAAGTTGTTGTTGTTGTTGTTGTTGTTGTTATTGTTGTTGTTGTTGTTGGAGAGGGTGGGTTTCCCCATGCACTTAGACCAGATATTGGTCCATTGTGCGTCCCCCTGTGATATTCTACCAGTCTCTATTCCCTACCGGTGCTGGTGCGTGCCATCAGTCCCGACTCAGCCAGCGAGTTCGGCCTCTACTGTCTCAGCGGTATCTCGGTACTTCCCCCATCTACCAGAGGCGTTAGAGACTACTGTTGGGCGGGAAATGTCCTGATTTTGGCTCAGAGGTCCCCTTGAGACATGAGGTTCTTTTATGTGCCGTAAAGCTATGACACGGGACCCATGGCTTAAAGTCCCTCCGGAGAACTTGTTCCCCGAATGTTTCCGCCCTTAAAAATTCCATGACCTCCGCCGGGTTTGAACCCGTGTACCTTGAGTCACGAGGTGGGAACGTTACCTAGTTTTGAAGTTAGTTATTTAACGACATGAGGCATTACAGCAGAACTAGAGACTTACAAAGATTACAAACAGGTTAGATGCTATAATTATCATATTATTATATGGCACTCTGTTTTAGATATTGCTTCATATACCAACCACTAGAAATACTTGATGATGTAGATTTAAGACTGTCAATTCGCTTCAGCTTGGCAAGTTTCCGGTTCATTCTCTCTAGTTCATCAATACGAGTCTCCAGATTGTCAGTCACCTTGCATAGTTCTTTCACAGCTCCCACATTCTCCATAAAGATTCTCTCCTGGAAGAGCAGACAAAATTAAATATGAAGTTCTCGCAGTGATAATTACAGGGAGTGTGTGTATGGCAATCAGCAGCATCAATATGAAACAAAACTCTTACACACTGGAATTAGAGACAGAGAGAGAGAGAGATGGAAGGGAGGAGGGAGACAGACAGACTTCAAAACATTGGAATTTATGATGTAGCTGATATTCCGAGAAGGCTTTATTGTTAAAACAAACTTATACAGAATTCACAGTGTACCAGTAAATATGGATACTTTCATGTAAAGAGTACAACTTGTGTTGAATGTAACATATTTATAACAAATGCATCACATATACACAAAAGTTTTAGTGGCAAAATTTTTTACACAGTACCAGCCTTTATAGAGATGCCTTTTATGATGCCATTTACATTCACTCTATCTGAATGCTAGAAGAATAGTTAATTTAAATGTCCTCTGTATACTGTGTTCTGTTCCATGAAGTGTAGTGGAGGAAATTTAATTTCCTTCAGAACAACTGCATCAGATGCAGCAGAGGGTTACCCTCTAAAATTCAGAACTGCCTTCTAAGCACCCAGTCACTGTGGAAGAAGAAGACTAGTACAAACCTTATTTACAACTAAGAAGTTATCTATCCTCCGACCATTTGGGAGTATTATGTCACCTGCAGCATGCACTGCCTCTGGCAGAACCCTCTGTACATCTTGGGCAATAACACCTGTATCAGAGGTGAGGTTTGGGTCAACAGTCAATCCAGCATGGAGAGAAAATTCTGGTGCATATCGATACCGCACCACACGCAGCTGCTGAACATTGCGTAGCTGTTCCCGAGTGTCACACTGGAAAATGGATCCCAAAATCTTTAAATTCTTTACGCCACTAAAAGTAATAACTTTTAGGCAAAACTCATTAATGAACCAGAAATGCTTACTGTGACCATATGCAGTTCTAAATAACAGTCTGAAGTACATGTGTAAGAAATATATAACACTCTACAATCACTGGAACGTGGAAAAGTGTTTAGGCTCTAAGTTTACTTAGGACATAAATGAATAAAGAAATCCCATAAATGGGCTGTAACTTTATATCATCTAAAGTCTGGTTATTCAGGATTATTATATTAAGCATGAAAATAATTAGTGATCATGTGTGTATGTGTGCATGGTGGTGGTGGTGAGTTTTATTTGGTCCTGACTCCACCTGTTCAGTCGTAAGCCACCACTGATCTCTGGTATGGTCTCTGTGTTGCTTTCTCTTCACACAAACTGAAACAGTCACCTACACCAAAGATAAAACTTTGGAATCTGAAGAAGAAAGCCACCCCCTCCCCCTTGTGGTTTGGGGCCATGTTAGACTGTAAGTTCTCTGTACCAACCATCATTTTATAATCACTGTATTGCTGGGCTTACAAATATGTCCTATGGGTGAGCCACCTCAGAAATGAATTCTATGCTCCTGCTTACATGGGCAGAGGTTAGAAACATCAAATGGACCATAACAAGTGGCAGCAGAAAGCAACCAATAAAGGCTTTCATATCTGATCTCATGTTTCTACTGGCTAGTGTGAGAGCCACAAAAGCAGAACATTGTCTTCTCACTGTGAATGCAACAGAGTAATTTAGACTATTATTTTCATAAGAAGATATATGTAATTCTAATATTAATGTGGTAAATCTTGAAAAATACTACATTCTGAGATATGAAGCCATGTAGTCTGGCACAAATTAATTGAAATTTTGGAGGAACATGCTGCCTCTATTTTTGGGGTCACTCAGTCTATGAGACTACACAGCATCACATCTCAGAAGACAATAACCTTTATAGTAACTATTGTGAGACCCTGAAATCCAGCACAGTATATTTTCAAAACAACTATCTCTGTACAACATGGAAAATTGTTGGTCTACTGGTCTAATCTGCTCTCACCTCTTGTATGTTTTCTTTGGCCCTCCTGTCACTTGGCTGCACAATATGGCCTGTCACCTTAAGGTTACCATGGATAACCAATGCTTCATCAGGTCGGTCTGTGTTGATTCCAACTCGACCAGCATGGAAGATAGATTCTGGTGTATGGCCTTTTTGCCAACACAGTTCTACATCACTTTCAAACTGGCCAGGGTTCGATGCCTGAAACAGGAAAGCCTGGTGTCTTCAGGCACACAGCTCTAGGCAGTAAGAAGAATAGGAATTTGAACAAGAAATTATAAACATAAACTAGGATTCTTATTACTGGACAGCAGAACACATTTTCACTATCAGAACTTTTACTGTATGCAGAAGAAGATGGCATAAACTTTATTGGAATTTTCTTTTTGTTAGTGTCTTGTTTCTTCCTTATTTCTTACAAACAGTGAAACAAAATTTGCGTTCCAACTATCTAAAGGCAGATTTATTGTGAAGGTCTAATATGTTATACAACATATGCCCTGAAATGTCTAGTTTTCAAGGTATAAGTCACCATCAAATGGGGTAATACACTTCTTAGCAGTGTGATTTGTCACGATGATACACAGCGCATTGTTACGTGTAACCAAAACACACAGTGCACAGCAGGGGTCAGTTGTGATTAAATGTTCATGCATTATACACATGATGAATGATTTATCAAGGACACTGTCACAGGCCTCTGTCATTTATCTGAGAGGCTGAGTGATCAATGATATATTTATTTTCTGAAACTGTTCTACTCGGGCTGCCTGATGATGTGCCTCTAGCTGTGAGGCAGAGATTGTGGATTCAGCACGATATCTGGCAGAGGTCAAATGCCACATATCCAGGAAGTTGGTTTGGAAATAGAAGTTCGACCACATGGCCTCCTCGGTCACTGGATCTAACTCCAATGGACTTTTTCCTGTGGGGGCACCTGAAGGAGCATGTTTCTGCAGACCCTCTCAAGGCTATCAAGGATCTCATGGCAGGACTTCAAGTTGCTATGACGATGGCTGATGCCAAAATATCAAGGCCTGTTCAAGTAAATGCCATGTGGTGTACAGCCATCTGCCTTGAAATGGATGGACACTGCTTTGAATACCTACTGTGACTACAAGGGTCAAATGGTTTGACCATTTGATAGCTTGTGCCATTTGACAGTGACGTGTATCTTGAAAACTAAATGTCACAGGACATATTGTGACATGACATTTGAGTGCTGGAAGTGTGCAGTCAGAGCACAGCAGAGATATCCTTTGCTATACAACGGCTAACTAAAACGTTTCTGCAGTAACGAATACAGTTGCAGAAATCAAAGTGTTGCCTGGAGACACAATGTTTCATGGCAATGGATGAGACAGATGATAATAGAGGACAGTCAACTGTCCGACTTGTTGATCTATATTCAGTCCACATGAAAGTTGATCCATTCCGAGATTCAGACAGCAGTGAGAGTTTGAGAGATTAGAGGCCAATCCAAAATTGAGACAACAGTGAGAGATTCCTCACAGAGATTCGTAAAACAGATGCTGTTAAGCTGGAGTTCAATGTGTGAGCAGTTATAATCGAGTGTAATTGTAACAGAGTCGTCCAGTAAATCCAATGATCAAATCTAGAACCAACAGTTTTTTTTATTGCTATTGGGGTGGGACTAAGACCCTTATATGGGCCAAGCCATAGCTCAAGCGGTTAGTCGCTAGCCTCCCACCACGGCGGTCCGTGTTCAATCCCGTGTCTGGTCAAGTGGGATTTGTGGTGGACAAAGTGGCGCTGAGGCAGGTTTCCTCCGAGTACTTTGGTTTCCCCTGCCACCCCACTAGCAATAAAATAAAAAAAAAGAGTCCCTTGTACTGCAGCCACTTCTGGCCTATTGTACCAGCCCCAGATGATATGTGAGGGTGATTATGGAGCAATTGGTGGAATGAAAATTGGCAGGGGAAACTGAAGTACTCGGAGAAAACCTACCCCAGCGCCACTCTGTCCACCACAAATCCCACTTGACCAGACCCGGGATCGAACCCAGGCCGCCGCGGTGGGAAGCCAGCGACTAACCGCTTGAGTTATGGCACAGCATGGAACCCACAGTTGCTCATCCAGCTAACCCCTTACATATGAAAATATGCTGTACAATATTTTTTGCTTATTTTTTAAGAAGGATTCACACTATGAAGAGCCTGTGCTCTAATTTCATTTCACTCTGTATATTGCATATTTTTCTTCACATGAATAAATGAACATATATTGGGAGGTCATGTGTGTCTCTGTGTACCTGCATGTTTCAGCTACAGCTGGAGAAATTATAACAAAATATGGAGTAAGCATGCAAATTTTGTGACTGCAGGTTGGAATAGTAATACTTACCCTGACAATAATGCGTTCAGAAGCATGGGAGACAATGGGATAGTTGTTACTGTCTGCACAGTGTGCATGGAGACCTACAACCAGGTAGAAGTAGCGCTGATCAGGGTTTGGTTTCCCTTTCTTACGCATATTGTTGGATGTTGTTTCACTAAAGTGTAGACGTCCAACTGTCACCTTTGTCACCTGTTCTCCTTGCAGATCCACACTGAAATTCAAGAATGACTGTGAAGCCCAGCTTTGATTACCGGCTAATAGAGTACAATAAATAAGGTCTATAAGTAAACATAGTTCCCAGAAAGTAAAAGTATACAGACTGAGTCCAGAGATTGAACTTCTATTCTGACCCTCCAAAACTGAAAGGATTGTCATGTCTGTCTGACCATCATCACAGCAAATTTAAAGTAACTCCTCCCAAGGAGGTTGCTGCATTTTCCTGGTTTCTTCCAGTCTTTCTGTGTTATCATACAGTCTATCTTATTCAGATAGTTTTAGTTCTGTCACACTAATTCCTGCATGTCATATACTTCAAAGCTTACACTTCATCAGAAGTGAGGGGAGAGGTGGGTAAACACAGAAATGTCCACTGATTCGAGGAATGTATCAAGACCCCAGTGGAACTGAATTTAATGTTCCTCAATTAGTGTTTTCCCTCACTGAATGTTCAATTTATGTGATTCCAAGTCAATAAACTCAGTGTTAAAATTCCTACACTTAGGTTTATTCCTCAGTTTACTGTTCAAATACTCTGCTTCTCAAAGAACCTTTAAATGGGACTTCCAATGAAGTAGGAGTTCTGTACTGCTCTTTCACTAATCATCCATTCGAGTTTTTAACATGGTTAGTTGTCACATAACAAAGCATTCTCCATTTTTCCGAGTCTTCACACAAATACTTTTCTTGTACCTGTGCCCACTCCCTTCCTATTCTATCCACCCTCACTTGGTTTCTCCACCTGCTCCTTGGTCCCTCCCCAATGATTATTTATTCACTGTAACTACCTAACTAACCCCATGGAGCTGAGCCCTTCTTGAGATGTCGCCAGTTGTGCAGTTACTCAAGATTTCCAACATTTTATGGAACCCAAAGTTCATGACCGTGTTCACATGAGCATTCCACTGGTCCCTATCCTGAGCCAGATCAGTCAAGTCCATACCACCCCATCATATATCTCTAAGATCCATTTTAATATTATCCTCCCATTACATCTAGGTCTTCCTAGTGATATCTTTCCTTGTGGCTGCCCCACCAATATCCTATATGCAATCCTCTTCGCTCCCATTCGTCCTACATGTCATGCCCATCTCATCCTCCTTGATTTCATCATTCTAATTATACTCTGAGAAGAGTACAAGTTATGAAGCTCCTCATTATGCAGTTTTCTCCAACATCCTGTTGCTTCTTCTCTCATCTGTCCAAATATTCTCCTCAACATCCTGTTCTCAAACATCCTCACTCTATGTTCCTCTTTTAATGACAGAAATTAAGTTTCATACCGATATAGAACCACAAGCAAATTTATAGTTTTGTATATTCTAATTTTTATGCTTTTAGACAGCAGACGAGAAGACAAAGGTTCTGGACAGAATGGTACCAAGCATTACCTAAATTCAATCTCCTCTTAATTTTCTCCTGAGTCAGATTTTGATTTGTTATAGTCATCCCCAAATATATGAACTGTGCCACATTTTCAAAGCATATGTTAGCTATCTTTATGTCATGATTTTGCCTTGCATTCTGGTGAGGAGACAACAACATATACTTAGTTTTCTCTTTGCTTGCTTCTAGACCAGCCTTCTTACTATCAAAAATTAGAGTTTGTTTTCTTTCTGGTATCTGTGTTATCTTCCAATAGATTCACATCATCAGCATAGACCAACAGCTGATGTTACTCACTTAATTTCAGTCCAAACTAATTTTCCTGGACATTCCTCATGGCACAATCTGCAGCAAAATTTAAAAGCAGTGTCACTGAAGCACCTCCTTGTTTTAGAAAATTTTATATAATATTATCAGACAAATATTTACCTATAAGGACTTGACTATACAGTTGATTTAAACACATTTTATTCAGCCTAACTAATTTCATGGACACACCTAACTCTATGAGAATATTGTACAATACTTCCCTTCTAACTGAATGACAGGCTTTCTTGAAGTGTGCGAATAGCTGATGTACTGTCTCATACTCCCATTTTTTTCTCCAGTCTCTGATGAATGCAAAAAAATGACCTGTTACATCAAAACCCATGACCCCCATAATTTCATCTACAAGGGTTGGATAAAAAGTAGTGGCAACACTGCTCATCACTTGGGTCAGTTTTTTATGGAACCAAGTGACTTTTATGATGTCCCCATAAGCAGGGTCCTACACTTTATTAAACGTGTAGGATTAATAAAAGGCTAATCCAAGGGGAAGCACAATAGCTTATTGAAGGTCGCAGTGCTGGGGCCGGTTTTTATGGCCCACCCCTTACATACATTACATTACATTGCAGAGCAGTGTATAAATGGCAAATATTTCCATCCATAATGCACCATAGTGTTAGTGTGCCATCTGCAAGACATTACATTAACTTACAGCACAGGATGAAAGGGTTTCTTGCTGCGGTCACTCTGTGATTGCTCCACTTTGATTGTTTGTGTTGGGGACTCCACTTTAACGCCATAGAAATGCAAATGGAAGCTGGAAATTTTCTTGAGACCTTCAGGTGTCTTGACAAACTGTGCATCACCCTGAAGCTGTGCATGACATGTGATCTATATGAGAAAAAAATTAATAATCTAATAACTTGATACAAAAACACAACCTCATGCGCGTGCATACAATACATTCTTCAATGCAGCTTTGCCAATCATTGGTCAAAATCACCAGTTAGACATCAACACGTTTTGGTCACACAGGGTGATCATCAGATATTTATGATTATCTACGTAAGCTGTTACACTGCAGTATTATATATGGCCTGTGACAGCTGTACATCTAAGAAGTTTATTAGTTGACCAAATTTTGGTGCCTGTTAAATGCAAAATGTAAGATGTTTTAAAGCTTTTAAAATTATGTAAAAAGGTGTATGTGTGTGCTACGGAACTCCTCTTATGTGTTGCTTTATGTTTACCACGAAGATGTGTGTTTCATGGATGGTGTCCAAATTAAGTGTATTCCAGTAACTAATATGTGTGTGAACTACATATGCATGTGATCATATGAGGCTTACAAGGATGCTAAGCTTGCCCTAGTATAGAAACTAGTTTACCACCAAAACAGATACTTTGTGAGAACACCTGGTCACAGGAAATCTTGAAGCTGACCAGCCAGTGCACATCTTCATTAGGATGGAAGCTTTCAGAGCCCAACATTCCTTAATGCAATGTTATATATGACAAACTGGACAGCTGTCTGTACAAAGTGTTGCTCTCCACTGCTTGAAGGGTGGAGGCAGCCATCTCCGTGGAGAACCTCAAACCTGAGAAAAAGGGAGAACTCCACTTCCGGCTGCTCAACTGCAGCTTGATATAGGGAGAGAAGTCAAAAACCCAACCAATTACCAAGGCTGCAGACTTACAAAAGAGGAACTGCAATGAAAGAAAACCCTGAGGTCTATCAGTAATAGTTCGTCAGGAAGAATGTTTACTTACACCTATTTTGCAATGGCACTGCACAACAATATAAAGTAACAGCAGCCACAACTGGAGTCATCTCCAGTAGAAGACAGAAGAATCCCAACTCCCATACCGCAATTAATACCACAAGGAGATTGGTCAGTTCTGTCCTCCAGTAGAAACAATTAATCTCTGAACAACATGCTCAAGGTTGTGAACTGCAGCGCAGCGGATTATGACAGAGATCAAAAGGGCTTTATTTGAACAAACAAAAATAGTGGTCACTATAAAAATTGTCCTTAATCTAATGAAATAAAATGGTTGCTAGAATCCATAGCAAACCAAAGCTTTGTTTGCTGCCTGTTTCATGCTTGGCTTTCTGCTTGGCTTACTTTTCAACCTGAAGATTGACAAAGAGTTCAAAAAGAAGGATAAGGTAACAGTGATGGAAGATATATCTCCAAGGGACATATTGAGGGCAAATATAACTCTAGCAGCAGCCAAAGCAAATATCAGTAATGGAAATGCACTGAAATGCCAGAAAGTGGCATGACGGTATGATAAAAACTATATTCGTTTTGGCTTTACATGAATCAAGCCCACAACACATGTTGCACTATGCACTGCCAGCTAACGCTAGTTCAAACATTGCAAATTTTTGGCATCACTTGGAGACTAATCATACTGCTTTCAAAACTAAATCTCCAGAATTTCTTAAATACAAACTGAATGAGGAGTAACAATAAATATGAACAATGTTTCCATCAACAAATAAATGAGGCACTTGAAGCTTTATACCCAGTAACAAAATTAACATAAATGCTTATCAGAGGTGCCATGTGACAAAACATTATGCTCAGAATTTAAAAGGCACTCCTTAATTGAGTTCTGGGTTTAGAGATGTAGACAGTACTCAGAAGTTACAAGGCATTTTCTATGCTACAACAATGTGAGGCCATATTTTCAACACTTTTCACCAACAAGTCCAAATAAAAAAGGATGAATACTGAATCAGGCCTACCATTCAAGCTGAAAAATAATACAGCAAACACCGAAGAACATGTTTTAATTCAACAGGCACATCAATTGCATTAAAACATTTTTAACTATATTCTTTCGCTTTTTTGTTTCTTATTGTATTTTTCTGTATTAAAATTTGGATTCCATATTTTCTTTCAATACTTAAGCATCTACAGCAGAGGCAGAAAATAACATCAAGTCATCCATTATGAAGTCATTGTGAAATATTAAAGGGTGTAACACTTTTGCCTTACCTGGAAATGGTTCTTTTTCTGGCAAACAAAAGCATCATCAGCATTTGAGAAGTTGAATCCTTTGTCTGCATCTACTCTGTAGTGTGGAACAGGGCTAAAACAGAAGTTCATATCATGATAAGTAATTTAGGGCTAAATAATTGTGTCCAGTTTTCGGAATAGTAACCCATGTAATTCTTTGTCACTTCCTACTAAAAGAACTTCTAACCAAGAATTTTCTTCCAACCAAACTCTGTTTAGGATAAGCAAATTTCCACAGTAGTTCAGGGCATATACAGATCCTAGAATGCATTTTAATTCTTCTCTGGGGTCTGTCTTGAAAAAAAAAAAGATTCTGATGCACCATTCACAGGATATTGAACATGACTGAAGAATCAAGCATTTCATATATAGGATGCAGTTGAGGTTACAGTCACAAACATGTGCTCTTTGGTGCCACAGTTCATCACCCTGTTTATAGCAAATATTAACTTCTCTTCAGCAAATAAAAGAAAATCAAGTTGTTTCATTCAAAATTTGTAACCACATTAAAGGCAGGCATTCCTGCTTCATTACTGGTGGGTTGATTTTTGGCCTAGAGAGTGACTATCCTGGGATTTTCATCATTTTCCACAGTCCCTTCATGAAAATTCTGAGAGAGTAACCTAAGAAAGGTAAGCATTTTCTTCCAAGTCATTTGCAATTGAACATTCATAACTATCTTCTTACTGGAAGCTGTATAACCCATGCAGCTGAGAAAAAAATTAAATAAACCAAGAACTACAAAACTTTGTTTTCAGACCCAGCTAACAGTGATAAATGGACTGCTACAAGAATTACTTAAAGGGACACTTCATATGTTTTCTAAATAAAAAACTACATTTTGATGAAAAAATTAAAGAATAACCAACCGAAAAGACTTGCACACTACTGCAAACAGTTTCCATCTGGTAAATACTTTTTCTGCAGAACCGAGGTGAATAAACCAATTTCTGAGATAGAAGCAGCATGAGGCAAATTACACTATTTCCTACAGCATGTCTGCCAAAAGAATAGTGATCATCTGAGAGGTGGTGCAAACAGAGGCTCTAAATCATGGTAGGGCTCTCACATCCTTATATAACAAAGATCAACCAAGAACTTAGATCCATTCAGGTAAATCTGTTGTCCTCTATATGACAGTTCAGTGTCTTAATCCAAGATAACAGTTCCTATATTCTCAATAATTATCTTTCTCACTTACTGAATGCTTATTTGTGTATGTCACAACATAATACCCAAATTTATATATTCCATACTGCATAACAGTGTCGATCTCTGTTTACATACGCAATTTTTATGACTATTTCCATCATAAATATTATCCAAAAGGTTAATGAGAACTAAAAATAACAAGCTATGAATTTAATGTTTATGTTACTTCCATCTTTAAACTGATCAGAGAATAATCACTCAAAAAATTGCACTTAATGCTGATTATTTGCATCTGAAACATAAGTGACAAATAAAATTTCAACATATATTTCTGACTCATTATATTAAGTACACTTTTCTAACCTAGTTGAAACTGGAACTGTGAATACTCCTCATCCCTCTAATACAGAAAGGAACAATGACAAGAAAAAATTAGTGACTGTAATTACATATATTTGAATGTTACATTTGTACATTACTGGAAATTGATAGTTTAATAGAAGACACATAACTTACAGTTCTTTTAAGTTCTGGTCACACAGCACATGCCATGCTGTTTGCTGAAATGGTTGAAAACGAATGCACTGGTAACTGGAATCCAGGTACATTCCTGACTCTCCAGGAATGTCAAATCCATAGTCATCATCCAGCACTCCTGTCTGATTGGAACTTGAGTCTGGAGACAATTCTGTATGAAAGTAAAACAAAAGGGTAAACAATTTATATTTGTTGTGGGGCACATCCACTTAACAAGTTACATAAGGATTTCTCTGGTGAAGGGGGTGGGACCTGTCTAACTTCAAGAACTGCAAGAATTTTTATCCAAGGACATGTTACTGAAAGCAATTTTTATTTCTAGCAACTTGTTGATGATGATGACACCATTTGTCTCACCAATATCATCACCATCATGATCACTGCTGTTACAGTAGTCACCATTGTTGTTGTTTCCAAATTATGTTTGCTTTTTATCCTGCTTTCCTTCTTCTACAAATCTTTATTTAATGTTAATGTTTCACGCTGTTATCTGTAAGAGCAATCTATTTATTAACTTACTTTCCTTTCTTAGTAATAGAAAGTATGCTTATGAGATCGCTATGCTGTCTGTGGGTTCCTTTCTTTCAACTTTAGAATCAAGTGACTGATTTTCAAGATGCTGGGTATGAACATTATGTCACTGGAAGCTGCCCCAACATGGTATTTTTTAACTTCTTTCAAACAGTTACAATGAATAATATATAATTTTTGTTAAGGTACTTCCTCTAATTTGGTATAGAGACTAGGCTACGGGCTGGATTATTGAGGAGTCAGGATTCAATTCCCAGTAAGGGAAAGATGCATTCTCTCCTCCATAACATCCATACTGGCTTTCGGGTCCATCCAACCTTCTACACAATGTGTACCACAGGCTGTTTCCCCAGAAATGAAATGGCAGAGGCGTGAAGCTGACCACTCACTTCTATCTCTTACCAAGATCAAGAATACTGGTGTAATATATCCACTCCCTGTATGTCTTCATGGTATACTTCTTAATTAATTACACGAACAGATAACTAGACCTTTTACCTTATTTCCTCTTATAAAATGTAAAATATTACATACATACTTTTCAGGTGGCAGTGACACGAGTATAATTTAATTTAGGGTCTTGAAATAATGATTGGTAACAGATTTTTGAAAAACATGCAACTTTATTAGAGGTATTCATTCTACAGAAAGTAAAATAACAACATGGCGAGTATGTGAAATTTTCTTTAGTTTTTGACCTGATGGTAATGAATAACGACCCACTGGGGACAGTCATGTAAAATTTAGTACTCAGATAGATCATAAACACATCTACATATTACATACAAAATATTCTTTGTAAGTCAACAATTACAAGCACAGCAACAGTGTGAAACTTTGAGGTTATATCAACCAAATTTAGGATACACAGAATCTGTACTCAAGTAATTAGTTCTTCATGAAAATACAGTAAAATATGCTTAATAATAATAATAGTAACAGATCTGTTGGGCTATAAATTAGAAATTTTTGCAGTAGGAATGATGGCTTTGTGAGTTCTGTTTGATCTAATTTTCTTCTTCCTGTACTTAATTACAAGTGGGAAAACAACTACTAGGCCTCACAGTATGTCAACAGGTGTGATTATATTGAGATTAAACCAGGAAAGGTGAACATGCATTATATTTTCACAGTGAGAGAAGAAAATTAATACAGCTGATATAATTGACTGATTATACCACCATGAAAGATGAGCACTAAAAGCATGAAGGAAATCTACTGTATGAACTGTATTATTGTGCGGATTGAGTGGAGGGACAGGGGTCACATGTTAGCATGCACAAAACTCTAAAAGTCTTCAGACCCACCTCCTCTTCTTGCAACTTCTAAAAACTCAGTGTGCCTTGTGTCTCACATTTGCCCTGAATTTTTTACAAATATAACTTGCATAAAACCTTTGTCACAGGACAACAAGAAGCAGTACAGTTGAGCTGAGGCTTGTTACAAGCTAGCATGCAAAGAATTTGTGTATGGTGAACCAGTGCAATGAGATGCAAGTTTGTAAGTACAAGAAGACAAAAGTGCAGTAGTGTAAAGTGAAATAGTGGAGAGCTAGGCCAGCCAACATCAAGATCATAAAGCAGTTAAAGACAAATTGTAAATAACTGCTTCAAAACACAATAAAATGTTACACTATGCTATGATGGGTTATCCTCTATACTTTTGTGTACACAGTGCTGAAAGAAGTCCCCAACAGCCAAGAGGTTATCCAGGTGTGGAGATATTGATGTTTTCATTGCTATGCATGATACATTTCATTTAAAAGCTTCAACCTTTATACATGGAGTATATCAGTATATCAGTCAAAGAAATATCTCCTCCAGGTTTCAACAGTTTAAGTTTTCTGTGCCATTAACCTTTAAACGCCGGATCTTCGAAATAGTGGTAAGCTTGAGCTGGCCGCAGTTTATTTAAATGCCCACTGCTGGTGCTCGTTTAAAACAATATAAATCATATATTATTCTCCATCCATCTTCAAACACGTCTCCTCCTCCTCAGTTTCTCCACACATATTTCTTTTCTCCAGCATAACACCTTTCCTAACTAACAGTTTCCACCTTCTTCTCAGCCTTTCTTTGTGGGTTTTCCTTTTAATTTCACGTTTGAAACCTTATTTGGAACACATCATATGCTACCAAGGATGTACAAAGGTTCCTTATATAAGAATTAGCACAAAAACAGTTACCTGGACACATCTTTCAACATTATGCCACTAATTTTCAGAGCACATGCTTAAAATTTTAGTCTCAAATAATGTACTACAGTCTTTCCTTGATATTGGTGTGAACGCAGAATGTATGCTTTATATTACAATTTATGATTAAAAATTTCGAATATCAAGACCTTTCTCTGAACTGGTCTTTGTGGTGCCTAATTGAAAAGTACCCTGACTCAACTTCCTTTTGACTTAAAATCTGACAGACATTCATGTAATTCCATAACCGATTTATTACTTTCTAGTATTAACTGGCTCATTTAATGGTTATTCACTCATTTACTTGATGAACAACTTCATGACCCAATTTAACCCTTTTACTACTGACTAGAGAGCTACAGGCTATACAAGTATCCTTCTCTTTCCACATGTTATTTAACGATGCTTTGATGATGATGAATCAGAGAGGATTCAAAAGGAGGTGACTGTGGCCTAACCAAGGTACTATCCTAGCATCTGCCTGAAGGGGCTGAGGAAAACCATGAACCTCAGTCAGGAAAGCTCGTGTCCCAGTCAAGATTCAAACTGAGCACCTACCAAACACACATCTAGAGTGTTACCCCTAAACCAATCGTTTGGTATATGGAAGTAGTGTTAACCTGTTCCAAAATATGTGGATGCCAAAAATATGACAGGGAAAATGCTGAAATTAAAATATTTTGCATGGAAATGCAACAGGCAACTGGAGTGTAAGCATCAGCAGGATTGAATTACAACAGGCCTAATAAAACTTGTCTAAATGGCCCAGTCAGTCCAACAGCAGGAAAAGAACTACATGCCACACAATCATATATCATATTTAAATGACCACAGGGTAAGGGCTATCTGAAAACTGAGATGACAGAGTGATGGGAAAGTTTTTGGGCCCTGCACTGCACCTATAAGTTAGGTTTGGTATTAAGACACACCAAAGATTCTGGATGAATGGTTAGCACTAATAATTAGTACTGGGGAGGTCAACTTTCCTGAATGAGTTTCTTTGTGGTATTTCTCAGTCAAGTTAATGATAAATAATCATGTGGCAGCCCTATTAATCATTCTGTAATGAGGAATGAAATATTTGTGTAAATCAATTGGTGGGGATGAAACTCCATCATCCCCAAAGTGAAGTCACTATGAAACTCAGTGGTGGCCAAGATGATTGCTACAAGATAATGATAAAATCACCTGGTTCTTGTTTTACATGCACCATACTGTTCAGGCCCTGTTGCTGACCTCCAGTGGCCCCATTTGAATTTCCATTGGCTCCTGATCCTGGGGTTCCCCCATCCTGTGACAATTTCCTTTTCTTGGAGCCCCCCTGGACAGTTGAGTAGATTGTGATGTTGCCAGACTGATGCTCACTTGTAAGGCCCGCATGCGCTGCTGCCAGTGCTAAGGTGGATGTATTTGGTGCTAATCCTTTGGAAAGACAAAATCAATTGTAAATATCAGCCTCATTTAATTTTCCTTGAAACAAAACATTTCTTCATGTGAAACATGTTTATTACAATACATAATACACAATTTTGATCCAATGAATGTAAGATAATAAGACTGCAGATTATAAATGAAGTAAGAGAGACTGAAGATGCTGTCTGTCCACTTCTACAGAAGAGGGACCAAAACCATGCTCATATTTCTTGGATGCCTGAATATATTCCACGCCTTTTATGTCACCTAGCATTAGGACAAGGAAACTTACTCTTTTGTTCATACTACAGTGAACTCTTGATTATCAAATGCAATGGAGTGTAGAACTGAGGTGGATAATTAAAACAACAGACAATCCAAAGATCTACAATCAACCTTGAAAATTACTTAATTACTACAAAATAATCCTTTATGCTCTAGGTGTTTTCCGAGTGTTGTAGAATGTCACTCTACTTGCATAAATTACACATCACACTTAATAGAAATATATAGAGCCAAAAATAAACAAAAGTTTAAACACTTAAACGTAGTCTGCTTTACTGCCAAAACCATAAGCGTTTAAAACGCCATTAGCCCACATTTATAATGCCTCTCTAGAAGCAGGTATTTTCCCAGAGAGATTTAAGATAGCAAAGGTAAAACCACTTCACAAAAAGGAAGACAAGAAGGATATGAAAAATTATAGACCAATATCCCTTTTGTGTGCTTTCTCGAAAATCTTGGAAAAGTTGATGCATAATAGGTTACCTCCTTTTTACAAGAAATACCATATTAACAGAGGCTGAACATGGATTTAGGATGAATAGGTCGACTGAGACTGCAATTTACTCTTTTCTAGCAAATATACAGGAATCGGCTGAGAATAACGAAAAACAGGTTGGAATTTTTTGTGATTTAACTAAAGCGTATGATGCCATAAATCATGAACATTACTTTCTAAATTGCAAACATATGGAGTGAGAGGTGTGGCAAACTTATGGTTTAAATCATATTTGGCGTACCGGAAGCAAGTTGTTGAAATAAGTTGTGATGGCAAAAAATATATATCGGCTCCAAGAGAAATTAAATATGGAGTACAACAAGGTTCAGTGCTTGGGCCATTATTATTTTTATTATAGGTAAATGATCTGCCTTTGAATATCAAAGAGGCGAGGATAGTTTTGTCTGCAAATGATACAAATATTTTGGTAACAGCGGAAAAGGAACATATCCTGCAGCAAAAGATAAATAAAGTCATGAACGAGTTATATGGATGGTTCAATGTAAATAATCTTATATTGAATGCTGAGAAAAGAATAGCAATGGCATTTCATAATAGACAAGAAAGAGATTTGATAAAACCTCAAGTCAAATTTGGCAAACTGGAGATCTCCTATAAATGTGAAACGAAATGAACATATGGAGTGGAAAGCACATATGATGTTCTTAAGCTCAAAACTTCATAAAGACTGTTACATGATAAAATCCCTTAGGGATGTAACAAGCCGACAGGTTATTAGGAGTATTTACTTTGCTCACTTCCATGCTTATTTGAAGTATGGTTTAATTTTCTGGGGTAGCAACCCAAAAAGTAAAATTATATTTAAATTGCAGAAACGAATTGTTAGAATAATTAGTGGTGTGAGTAGATTAGCATCATATAGACAACTTTTTAAGGATTTAAACCTACTTCCACTACCTTGTATGTATATATTTGGAATAGTATGCCATGTTAAACTACATTTAGAAAAGTTAGAACAAAATAATATAGTTCATAATCACAATACATGCCAGAAGTTAAATCTCCATGCTCAGCTTTGCAGAACAAATGCCTATAAGAAAGGAGTACTGAATATGGGAATAAAATTATACAATAAAATACCAAATAAAATCAGGGAGATAGAAAAAATGAGACAGTTTAAAAAAGTAATGAGTTCATATCTGGTACAACATATGTTTTATTCTGTAGAGGAATATATGTTAAATTAAAGATGGTATGTTTGTGAAAGGGGGGTATTTATTTTTAATTATAGAAATTGAACTATTGTACTATGTTTAATATGTATGGAACGTTTTCCTATGACAGTGAGTTGATGAGGAAGGATGAATGGATTGGTTGACTGATTGATTGATGTGAAATGGATTGAATTGGTTACTCTGTTGGGGAACTTATGTTGTCTTAAATTTGTAATATAGTTTTATATGGTATGTTGGACATGTACACAATTTGTGTATGTAGTTGAATATTAAATTACAGTATTACTGACTTTTATACAAATAATTTGACTTGTTCTATATCTGGATGCTGTATTGCAAAATGTGGATTTCTGGAACAAATAAAAATGAATGAATGAATGAATGAATGAATGAATGAATGAATGAATGAATGAACTACTGGAACTGGGTATATGAAATCTAGTATAAGATTATTTTAAGCATAATTACATATTATATATGTAATACTGTTTACATGTAAACAAATACAAACATGGAGAGGGTATGAACTTCTGACGTTATCTCTTAAAATACTTAAAGTAGTCAGAACCTTTAATTATATAAGAAATTCTTTTCACAAAAAGATGATGATGGTGACGATATTCTGTATGAAACAAAGTGACAACAGCAGGTAATAAAAAGACAAGTACTGATGTTGACAGTATTCAGTCTTAGGAGCATTTGCTGACAAGCTGGGCATGCTAACCTATCAGCTGATTTGTATTCTACTGTGGAATTACAAATTTACATTATCTAAAATACAATAGCAACAACACTGCATTTTCAGGAATTCAACACACATTAAAATAGAATAAAACTGAATCTCACGAAGTCTCTAGCTAAATACCAATGACCACTGACAAAACTGTACAGTACAAAAATGGGCTTTATGAATTCTGCCCAGACGTTGATGTTCAACTTTTACAATTAAGTATGGTATCACTTGAAAGCTCCTGTTTTTATGTATGGAAATATTACGTTAACTATCTGTGATCACATAACTTAAATTCCAATGTATTAATACACGGCAGACTGAGTCACTTGTCACCATGGCATGGCATGTGTTTCTATCCTTTGGTATTAATGGTGTTGAATCTCCTCCTGTCAAAGAGTTAATTAGTTAGTTGACTCTGAATTGTTATGCTTTCTTATATTATTTTGGGTGGCAAATGAATCTTAAGTTTGGCAAGCAGAATTTGGCATAAACTTTCAAGGTCTGATTATCACCATTATTGATGACAATGATGACAATGAAGATGGCAATGAAGAAAATCTCAAACAATATGCCAAAGAAGTTATTAGGAATTAGATTAAACTGCCATTCACCTAGATTTTGTAAAGTTGGCCCTGTTGAGGAGGCTGTCACATTTAGGCTGATTGGAGTTTGAGCCTGCGCAGGTGGATTTGTACTGTTTGGGGACGGAATATTCTGAGGGTTGCTATTCTGCTGAGTGAGAAGTGGTGTGAGAACTGGATGCTGTACAAGTAGTGTCTCTCCCACAGGTAAATGTTGTTGAGGAAGACCTCCATGAGGATGAGGAGTGGGTGGAGGAGGTTTCACAAGATTAATGTGATGTGATGGATGGTACAAATTGGAATGATGGTGTGACAGGGAATGGTTGTGATGATGATGCGGATGGGTTGCAGGATGCTGCAGTAAGATTTCCTGGTGAAGATTTGTTGTGCCAGATGAATGTTTCTGATCTGAAAAGAAAGAAGAAAATGAGAGATTCAGATGTATGGCACAAAATTCTTGATAAGTGTTTTCTCTTTGGGTAATGGTGTTAGGATCCTCACATATTCTTATAACATTGTCAAGACAGAAATATATTAATCATTATTATTATAATAAAAATATTGTCACGTGTATCAATGACTAAAGATGGGGTTTAGATTGGTAATTGAATTTATTAACCAGCTACAGGTCATAACTACAATGAATTATTACAATGTTGCAAATTTACACAATTTACAAATAGTCCACACTAATTTTATCAGTCTATTTCCACTAGTCGTCACTATCCGTTTCCTGGCAACGGATTTATAACACAGGAACTGTAGAAGTCTCACTAAAGTACACACTTCTGATATCGATGTACAACAGCACATGTAATATCACACACTAAATCTTCTAATTTTTCTTCTGGCCACACTGCTGTTCTCTTGGAACTCTGGAACTCAAATGAGTCAATTCCATTCCTGTATTTCCTCACACCCTCTCGGCAGCCCCTCTATTGTTTCATGGCGCAGACCACACAGAAAACACGTGTCATGTATCAGACTATGAGTTGCTTTGTCCGTTTGCAGCATTCGGCATGGCGTGAACAACATAGAAAACACAGCCTCACCTACTGTTGCGAGTTGGACCGTGTTTACAGAGCTATTGCCTCAAAATATGTTGATCAAATCCTTTACAATATCATATTTAAACGATATTTTAAATTATATATATAATATTCTTAATTTTTTATAATATATGATGTATAACAATGAAACCAACTATACTTGTCTACATGACATATAGATGTTAAATTATNCAGCTACTGCTCTCTGCATTCCAAGCCATTCAACTGCTCTGAAGATGGAGGCGATACGTTCCTCCGAAACGTCGGCCAAAACGAAGAATACACGGCGCCTAAACCCAGAAGACGACTTTCTTCACAGACTTCAGTTGTTTAACACAAAACAGACTACAATAATCAATTCTTTGAAAACAGTGTAACATCACTAATGATTGTCTGCTTGTAAATGAGTGACTTTAAAATCAAAATGGAGAGGAATAAGCACTATTAATTAGTTACTTAGTAAGTCTGTTACAATACAGCCTAAGACAAATTTACAGCTGTTAATTTCAAGCATATGAAACGTATTCTTTTTTGCTCTCATAAAACTGCTACCTGTAGAGATGCACATATTGCACCTCATGCATTCTATTCTTTCCTGCAGTTCTGTCAGTTCCTGCTTCATCACACAAACTTTGTATGCATTTCATGTCTTTGCCAACTGAGCTTCATGACCAGACTTCTTCTATTCCATAATTTCATCATTCTAACACTACAAGGTGGCCTGTGCATATGCGAAAATTCCTCATTTGTATACAACTGAACAGGAACCCAAATGAAGGTGATTACTGGAGATTGCCAATGGCGACTACACAAGGAAGGTGTTATAATTGCTTTCATGCAGGTTAGATTTCTCCCCCCGTGATATTCATACAACCAGTCACTAAGGAAGGCACCAAAGGGAAAGTGATTGCCATCAGAAGCATATAAGGGTTTCTGCATGGTTAGTTTTACCAGCAGAAAATGGAATTTCAGCGTACAGTGACTTAATGGTATGCATGTCTCAATGATTTTGGCTCTGTACACCAGGATCACAGAGACCACTAGTAATTTTAGCCAGGCATGTTCCTATTGAACACTGACAAAATACAACGATTCTCCGCTTGACTCATCCATAAAATTTGACTCCTGATCGCTGATATATGGTCCACTGAAGGAAATGAGTTAAATATGAAAATAAAGTGTCAATATTATGATCGTAAAAGTAGTAACCTATAATTAATATCACAAATTACTCACGTGGGGAATGGGCACCTGGGTCAGGTGGTGAATATGGTGGCTCTGAACCTGAATCTGGAGGGCTCTCAGGAAGGTTGTGTCTGTAACAATATTAAAAGCAAGTACCATCATATTTACATATCCAGCAGCAAACATAACGAAGCACTGAAATCTCTACAACTTCAAATTTAAGATTACAATCTCTATTTAGGATTTTCATTAATTTCCTCAGTACAAAACAGTGAACATCAGTAAATTAACTTAATATACTTGTACGTCATGACCACTTCAAAACATCTACTGATTCAGTAATAATAATTATTAAAACTTTGAGTCATAATTTAATAGTTTTTATTTGAAGATTTATGACATACAGTCACGAAAATGTCTTAATTTTGAACATATGTTGAACCACCCAGACATGAATATTATTGAATATAGCTTCACTTATAAGCCACTGTGGAAGTTCTTGTCCCTAGGTTCTTGCCATCTATATATAATGTGCAACTCTGCAGTGAAATGTTTCAATAGCTTCAACATATGTTGTAACTAAAGCTTGGAAACAGAAATTACACATCAGTGTGCCTGTTGCCAAGAAATAAAAAATGTAAAAATGATAATCAGGTGGAGCCAATGAAACTGAACTGGAATAATCTAAAAAATAAGCAACAGTCTCTACCATCTGTAATTTATGAAGAAACCAAAATTTTGTGACTCAGAGAAATAATTACTCTATCCTACTGTCATGCTCATAACAATATGCTCAGCATTTTGGGTTCAATTTTAATGTTAAATTAAAACATGCTTGATGCAGGTTATGCTATTAAGAACTCTTCAGTGAGTATTTACTTCTACTTCAGCATAGCTACAGAAGAGTAGAATTACTTGTTGATTTTTTAGGATCATGATATGACAACAGTTTATAACATAAAATATGAGTAATTATAACTCCTAAATACTGATCGTGAATGTGTACATTTTATGTAAGTAATTAGTAAGAAAATACTTATAAAGCACAAGGCTCATGGATTATAAACAGTTTTTATACAAATTCATCTAAGTCACTTGTTAATAAAAAAAAACATCTACTACAACCACTACTATAAACATCACTTCAAGGAAGCTTATTCTTAAGTAGGATACAGAAGACATGCTCAGTATCTCTTGATATTTTTCAAGAAGGTACAACCTGACCACAATGAAAGTAGGCATGTCATAAATCTTGATAGCAAATTAAATAAGAGGCGCTACTACATTATGTGCAGACAAATACACCTAATATATTGGTTCATTAACCATTTCAAAATTACACTAGTATAAAATCATAAATATTGTTTCTGTTTCTAGTGAGGGCTACATATATATAATCTCAAACTAAAGAGAAACTTGTTTTAGATGACATTCCTCAACTCATTTTCCTGCTTTAAAAGTTAAAATAACTTCAATTCTATTTTTTTCCGTGTGATTTATGTAGATGTTATCCTTTCAACAAGTTTCCTGTTCAAAACTGCTTGCTTATTGGTTTATTTTACTCTTTGCTGTGGCTAACACAGTATAAATAGTAAAATTAAATACTCCCTCTAGTATTTAGTATGGTAAAATATAACACTGATATAAAAGAGACAAGTGATTTAACAAACCTGATGGCATCATGATACAGTGAATTTAAATTGTGGTTAACAGTTAATACAGTGGACCACCATTTAATGCTCCCTAGTTTACAGTTTTCACTCATTTACAGTTAGATTTCTATATTATCCCATGCCAATAATGTCATTTCAGTGTTAAATTTCATCCATTTAAGATTTTACTCAATTTAGCATTTAAATCCACTGGTTCCCAAAGAAACTTCAAACGGGGGTTTATCTACTGCATACACAGTGTGTCCAGGATCCGTTAGGACTCATTTTTTTAAATCTTTCCCTGTAATGCTATCTGTTGACGAGTTGTGGTGTTAAGATTCTTGATGTTTCACCTGTGACTGTCAATAATTTCAAAGCGCAAGCATTGCTGCATCATGTGTTCTGACCTTGAATGTACAATACTGTTCTGACGCTCGTTGGAAAATGG